AAATGGGGATGTACTGGGGGGTGGACCAAGATAAAGATTTTTGGCGTATACTTCATTTTTACTAATACAAACCAGCAAATATGGCCGTTACTTACAAAGGACATAAAAGTTGCGTTTGTCTGCGTCCGCGGCATTACTGCACAACAACACCGACACTCGAGCAACCTGAGTGGCCTTCTTGCCACGAATTGGACCGGTAACAAGGGTTTGTTGGACGGAACTTCAGAAAGAGACCCGTCTCATTGCAATTATAGATGTTATCAAGGCCAAAGTCCTCGAGCGCCATTTGGATCTGTTCTACTTGAGTCTGATAGAGATCCACGTTGACCGATCCGCTTTCACCATGGCCGATGTAGCTCTTGAGGGCCCTCTGTCTCTTAAACTTTTGGAGCCGATTATTTGAAAAGGCAATCGGCTCTGGCTTATGCTCAAGACGAAAGAAATTGTTGCGCTTGGAGATAGTTCTTTTACAGTTGTATGGAGTAAGGAAACTCCCAATCTGAATGCTCGAATAATTTGTGTTCCACACAACTACGCACACTGTAGCGAGTGATCAGCACAACGGTCTTCTTGTTCAACTGGAACCCAATTCATTATTGATATATCTAAGCAAAAGGGTACCTGTAGCGAGTGATCAGCGCAACGGTTTTCTTGTTCAACTGGAACAAGGAACACTGGCTTCGATTCTCCTTTTATACAGGCACAACTCCAAAACCTAATATCAAATCCTGCGTACCCTCGGTGGCTGCTGGCCAACATAATGAAGGATGGAGCGAAGGGACCTCTAGGCTAACAAAATCATAGGTCTACAAGCAAATTTCCTTTTGCTTCGCCATTTCTTGTGCAACATTGAGAAAATGATTAACCCTACTCCTTTCTTGTTTATCGCCTGTTGAATGCCTTGTTGAATGGATGTTGAAGACTGCACTTGTGCCTGCCACGAAGGTGCTGTCTCTACCAGTCTCGCTCACCAAGCTGCCGCTAGATGAGTCATCACCGGTTTGTTCTCCTGCTGTCGAGCTGATCTAGTCCAATGCGTCGGTCGCAATATGACCACCACTCTCGGCTGTATCGTGCTGACCCGTGGTGTCCTCCGATTCGTTAAAAGACGCTACACATAATGAGACAATCGGTATTGAATAGATCTACTACAGCGGTGGCGCGAGCATTTTAGGAATGAATCAAAGAAGGTACCTCCACGTCTTTTTAGCGTGTGACAAAGATCCTCATATGAATGGTTAAGGATCCTCGTCTGGTGCTTGTGCATCGAGTCTAAGATGATCTCTTTCTGCTCCAGTGCTTGATTCAGCCGTCTCCTGTATGCCTTGCTGTTCCATTTCCTTTGAAGACCCACACCCGTTCTCTGCAAGGTAGGATGCTTGCTGGAAATCAAGCGGGGGATAATCGTCGTTGTCCAAACCGCACGCGCCCGTCTCTGATCGTCGAATCTTTCGAAGAATTTTTCCGCGTCGAAGTCCTTTGGACTTACTTCACGGAAGTACCCTCCATTTTCGAAATTCTTTGTCAGAGCATCAATAGCAGAATCCAAACTCATCGTAGCTATAGGAACAACATAGAACTTGTCAACGTTCTCATAGTTGAAGGATAAAGAAAATGTGGACTGCCAAAGATGTGTCCCACGTTAGGCCGCTTAAACCTCGCTAGGGTGACACGGCACTCAATACTCTCCGGAGAACCATAGTAACGCCCGCGCGAGCCTCTTGCAAGTAACGAGTCGCTGAGCCAGGCTGATGGGTAATGTACCGCATCTGTTCAAATGGTAGATCATACCAGACACCCAGACTTCATAGAAGAGGTGGGCCGGTTCGAAGAGCAAGCACACGAGAAGAAAAGTTCGAAAGCCGAAGCCATGAAAGAAGCGTGTAGTGTGGAATTCAGCAGAGTTACTAACCGTGTCTCGTCTGGATCAGATCGAGGGTTGCAATCAACGCGGAGTGTAGCTGATCAGATGACGTAAAATCGGTGGAGTGAGGCGACCGTTGATGTCGGAAGCTCTGATTATGGTGAAAAAGGCCGCAAGAGGTGTACAGGCGAGGTGATGGAGAGGCCCATAAAACTGCTCCATGGCAACCCTTCTCTCCCTGTCTCTCCCTTTCACACTCACTCTCGAGAGAGTGGATCATCAACACAAAGGATGGCAACGGCCGGCAGAATAGGGCACAACAAGGCGGATAGGCTGTGGCGCAATGCCATGGGCAAACAAAGATTCCTCTTCGTCTGCTGTCCTTTTTGCACCCTCGTTCAGGCACCATCTATCTTCCACTAATCATGTCCTCCCACACTCTGCGCCATTCAGTATCTGCCTTATTTATATTCTGCTTCTTACTCTCATTCCCCTGAGCCCCACCTACTACATCATCGATCAACTTGGCAGCAAATATAGACATTAGACACGATGAGAAAGTTATCCATCTTGACTCTGCCCTTCACTCTACCCTGTCCTAGGCATTCGTATGTGGCAATAATCCTTTTGCGCCTAGCCCGACCTTAACAAACGGACACTTACTGCTATCTTCATTTTTTGATCATTGCGCGACGCACAGGGGTTCGTAGGGATTGTTTAATCGATGCAATAGGGGGTTTCAAACTTTGACATTCGCAAAGTCAAACGCGTGCTCTTTAGCTCAACATGCTCCGCACAAACGCGCCTCGTCACTATGGCGGATTCCATTTGCCTCCGCGGCTTGTTTGCCCTCCGCGTGCTCTTCTGATTTTTCAGCTTTCCTCTGTTCCTTCATCGTCATCGGTGAGGGTCATGAGAATGATGAGCTGCTCCAGGTCGGATGGTAGCTGTTGGCGTTCCGACTTGAATGGCATGGGGGACCGGGTCGATGGTTGGCTTCGCTCATCTTGATTGTGCGTGTTTTGGTATGAACATTTTGGCGCGTTAAGAAACACATCAGTTCTTGAGGTGATGTGTATTGCAAACGCGTTTTGGTCACAAACGCGCGTCGATATCTGCCCACAAAAAACTTATATAACACACAGCAGATATACACAGATGCATACCGGATGCACACCAGGGTGTGTTTGGTGTGCAAAGCACTATGCATTAACTGGTACATTGAGGTTTCTTCATTTGGTGTGATTCTGCTGGGCTGTCCGTTCCTGTACAGTTACCTAGCAAAATCAATTGGCAACTTTAATTTTTCTAGCCATGAGCAAATAAACACATCTTTCTTCAACACAACTTACTTTTCTTCTCCAAGCACAATCGACAGCAGCTTGGGTAACCACCATGCCGAAACAGTTATTCATGGAAGAAAAAGGCATTATCGTTGGAATGAGTCTAGCGGGAATGAGCCATGCGGAAATTGCAACGCAACGCAACACACGCAGGTCCACGGTGACCAATAATATTCACATCTACCATCAAAGAGGCACCACTGCACGCGCCCCAGGTTCTGGACGGCCAAGAGCGCTCAGAGAGAGAGACATTAGGAGCATGATACGCAATACCAAGCGTGAAAGACGTGTCAGTCTACGGGATATCACCAACATGGTGCCCCATGAAGTGATCGAATACACCGTTCGGAGAGCGCTCCATTCAGCTGGCATTTTCAGCCGGGTACCCGCAAAGAAACCCTATCTCAGCGACGTTCACAGGGATAGGCGACTCGCATTTATGCAGAGGTACAGCAAATGGGAATCAGAGCAATGGTCGAAGGTAGTATGGACTGATGAGTCAACATTCGAGGTTGGAGAGAATTTTCGCCAGATTCGAGTTTGGCGAACAGCGGAGGAAAAGTACGATGGCGATTGTCTCGCACCTACTTTCAAGAGTGGTAGGACCTCCCTCATGGTCTGGGGCGCATTTACAGCTACTAAGAAGTCCAGGCTAGTTATTTTTGAGCGAGGACGTCGCGACGGACAGTGCTTCGTGGAGGATATGTATGAGGGTGAATTGTTTAGGATTATGACGGAGGTACGGGATGGAATCCTCATGGAAGATGGTGCTCCAGTGCACAGCTGCGCGCTGTCAAAGAGTTGGCGCCAAGCACACGGCTTTCGCAAGATAGAGGACTGGCCAGTCAACTCCCCAGATTTGAACCCCATCGAGCATGTTTGGTTCCTCCTTGGTACTGCCCTCAATCGACGACGAAGCCAACCTCGGGACATTGCAACCCTGGAGAGAGCTCTAGTGGAGAAGTGGAATGATTTACCACAAGAACAACTGGCAAGACTGGTCGACACGGTGCCCTAGAGACTGGAATTCGTGAAAAAGCGCAGAGGTGGTAATGACAGATATTGAACGAGCCACAACCCTCTCCTTCAGCATACACCACTACACCACCCTGATATCCACCAAGAATGTTCCCCCAGAGCTCCTCGATAGACATGAAGAATTCCATAGCGACTGCATAACTCTTTAGGTGAGTTGTATATAGGTAATTTGAAAAAGAATGCGTAAAAGCATGGGTGAAAATTAAAGTTGTCAATTGATTTTGCTAGGTGACTGTACAACTAGTTATTGTTGGCCAGCAGCCACCGAGGGTACGCAGGATTTGATATTAGGTTTTGGGGTTGTGCCTGTATAAAAGGAGGATCGAAGCCAGCGGTCTTTTGTTCCTTGTTCCAGTTGAACAAGAAGACCGTTGTGCTGATCACTCGCTACAGGTACCCCTTTTGCTTAGATATATCAATAATGAATTATGGTTCCAGTTGAACAAGAAGACCGTTGTGCTGATCACTCGCTACAGTGTGCGTAGTTGTGCGTTAGACCCTTGTATTCAGTGTGGAACACAAATTATTCGAGCATTCAGATTGGGAGTTTCCTTACTCCATACAACTGTAAAAGAACTATCTCCAAGCGCAACATTATGACAGACATGTGGCGCTTTCCTATGCTGTCCCCTTCTGTCTCGATTATTGAAAGGAGGGGTGAACTTAAATACACGTGATTGACTCTTTGTGCACCAGCGAAGACCGGTGAAGAAATATTCACCAGCGAGAATCACCAACATAGTCCAATAACGAATCGCGACTCAACGAATATATTTCTTTCTTTTCATTATAAGGAAAAAGCACTCAGCTAACATGTGCTACAAAAAAGTATGGACATGAAAAAAGAAAATGGTAGTAAAGAAGCTTGTGAACTGGGATCGGGATATATACACAGGTAAGCGACACCATCTCGCGCTCGAAAAAAAAACGTCTCGTCTCTTTTTTTACAGCTCCTGCTTGACCTCATCCGCCTTCTGTGCAACCTTCTCCGCCTTCTTCTCCACCTGGTCCGCAACCTTCTTTGCCGCATCTCTCGCACCATCCTTCATCTGCTGTGCCTTGATCTCTGCCGCGTTCTTGGCCTCTCCCTTCTTCCTCCTCGCCGCCTCCGCGACTTCCTCGGCCTTTGTCTTCGCAGCTCCCTGTGCCTCTGTAGCCTTCACCTTAGCTTCCGCGGTCGCGCCCTTCACATCCTGTGCAACTCTCTCGCCCGCAGCATTGACCTTCTCTGTTCCCTCCACAACCTTGTCCTGCACCTTGTCTTTAGTATTCCATGCCTTGTTCTTCACATCCTCGGCTGCCTCCTCTCCAGCCTTGAATACTTTCTGGGCTGTCTCTGTTCCCTTCTTGGCCGCATCCCCAGCTCCCTCCTTGATATCATCCGTCACAACCTTAGTCTTGGATGTTCCCGTGACATGCGAAGCCTCGGGGCAGAAGACATACTTGAGAACCTCGCCAATGCTGTTGGCGCTCAAGACCTCGGAACTGAATGCAAACAAGTTGCGAACGCGGGGGATATTCGAGAGCATCTGAGCTCCGCCGCCGTGAGCAGAGCCGACACCGCGCGTGACCAAGACCAGGGCTGCCTGGCTGGCAAGCGAGTCCAGGAGAGCCTCGGGGATGTCGTTCGCCAAACCCTTGTAGATCAGGTTATTGATGTCGCGCGCATTCACCGCAGCGGGCGCGGTCGAGCTCTCGGCCGTGAGGGCCAAGTAGACGATCGTGCGGACGGCTCGGTCTGTGGGGTTCAATTCAGCAAGACGGGCGACACTCTGAGCCATTTGGAGTTCGGTCGCAAGCTTACTTACGGCCGACACGATGGTCTTGAGGTCCAAGGACTTGACGGTCGAGTCTGAGGGGGCAGAGACAAGGGCGCCACCAGTAATACCCTGGCTCAGACTGCCGTAGTAGACGACATCATCGACTCCCTTGAGGTAAGCGGTGTTGGTGGTCTCGCAAACGTTCGAGGGGACGACGATGGCCTTGACCTTCTTGATGGTGTCGGATGACTTGATCAAGCCGTAGCCGAGCATGTCCAAGAGAGATGATGATCCGTCGGCGTTGTCGTCCTTCTTCTCAGCCTCCTCGGTTTGCTGGTTGTCTGGTTGCTTATTGTCGGTCTTTCCAGTGTTGGGGGTCTGCTCGTTGTTGGTGGAGGTCGTGTCCTTTGCCTCAGCAATCTTTTCGCTGACACTCTTCTTGGCTTCGTACGACTCCTTGGAGGGTGGAGGCAGGTTAATGACGGCATCATAGATGGTTCTGGCAATGATGGACGCGCGCTTGGGGTCGATCTCGGTCAGGTTGGCGGCGGCCGCGAGGGCCTCGGGTCCGTGCTCCTGGATGGCCTTGAGCTTCGCAGCGTCGAGTTTAGACCAGTCAGCGTCCTTTCCTGAGGCGATGTTGAGGGATACGACCTGGATGATGTCGTCGAGGAGAGGGATCTTTGATCCGGCAGTGAGCTTGGAGGAGTCCTGTGGGGCGGAGGAGAAGGACTCGATGCCCTGGGCAGTGATTTCATCAAGGAGATGGGGGGCGAGTGTCTTGACTTGGGGATCATTGAGGAACTGCTCGAGGGTTAAGGCCGAGAATGCGGTGGAGACGAGCAGGGTCGCGAGCGAAAGTCTGAGGAGGAGCTTCATGTTTGGGGCGAAAAATATGTAGAGGTGGTTAGGAAAGGGTGTGGAATAGGATAAAGAAGCGAAAATGAGGAGCGAAGAGAAGAAGAAGGATTGAAGTGAAGGAGGGGGTTTTTTTTTGTAGTATCAGAAAAAAGATAAAGAGAAATAAAGAGGCGGCCGATGGGTGGATGGACCGATCAAAGTAAAGAGTAAAGAAAGAAGGAAGGAAAGAATGGACGAAGGAGTGGAGGTGAAAAAAAGGGGGGAAGAAGGAGGAAAGGAACCAAAGGAAGGAAAATGTCTCTTTTCGCTGGCATCATCATCGTCATCATCATCATCATTATCGCTGTATTCATCATTATCATGCCGTGCTCATCACTCAGACCCTTTTGCCCTATTGCGGCATTGCCGCTGCGCCCACACCAGCGCTACATCTTTTTCATACTCCCCTTTCGCTTGCACAGCATGACAGCGTGTAGGCTCACATATGAAAATGGCAATGGAAACGATCGACACAGCTAACAGCTGCAATTACGCCTAGCCCGACAGCATATAGGACAAATCCGTACGTGGAAAAAGGGGAGGTCGAAGGACGAGGAGGAGGAAGGGGTGGGAAGTGGAAGTCTTCATCAGGGACAGAGGGAAGGGGAATGATAAAGGAACACGCGACAATCCTTGCGTTTTATTACTTTGAATACCTCCCTTAAATACGCGCCTTGATTTGTTCTACCTCGACAATATCGTTATACAGCAAGCTCGTCAAGAAGTCGCTGTACTCCTCTCCAGTAATCTGTGTCGCCAAATGCTTCTTCGCCTCCACGACCTTACTCGCCTTGAACCTCTGCTCGCCCATGCTCTGCGCCAGCTTATCTGTCTCCTCATCCAGCACCCTCAACAGATACTCGGCCGTCACCTGCACTCCTGCATCCGTACGCGCCTGATGCTTCGCCCACTGCCACAGCTGTGAACGCGAAATCTCTGCTGTCGCTGCATCCTCCATCAAGTTATGGATCGGCACACATCCAAGTCCTCTTAACCATGCCTCCATATACATCAGCGACACCGACATATTCGCACGGATGCCCGCCTCGGTAATCGCTCCCTTCACATTCGTGTTCAGCAGATCCACTGCTTCAACATGGACATCCTCTCGGCGGACATGCAGCTGGTTGGGCTGGGGCATGTGTTCATTGAAAACCGCCATGGCCAACTTGACCAGATCTGGGTGAGCAACCCAGGTACCATCATGACCAGCCTTGACCTCCCTCAGTTTATCATTGCGGACCTTGTCCATCGCAGCCTTGTTGGCCGCCTCGTTGTTCTTGATCGGGATCTGGGCAGCCATACCTCCCATCGCATGCACGCCACGCTTATGACAGGTCTTGATCAACAGACGGACGTACGCGTCCATGAACGGTGTGGTCATCGAGATATCTGAGCGATCGGGTAGCACGTACTCGGGGCGCTGACGCAGCTTCTTGATGAACGAAAAGATGTAGTCCCAGCGACCGCAGTTCAGTCCCGCAGAGTGGTCGCGTAGCTCATAAATGATCTCATCCATCTCAAATGCACCTAGGATGGTCTCGATCAAAGCAGTCGCACGGACGGTGCCACGGGGCAGGCCAATGTAGTCCTGCGCCGCATTGAAGATATCGTTCCAGAGACGGGCCTCGAGATGAGACTCCATCTTGGGGACATAGAAGTATGGGCCGATACCAATCTCGACCGACTTGCGGGCGTTGTGGAAGAAGTAGAGACCGAAATCAAAAATGGAGCCCGAGAGGATCTGTCCGTCCACAAGAACATGCTTCTCATCCAAGTGCCATCCACGCGGTCTATTACCAAGAACCAGAAACTGCTTAGTACGAATAAAATGACACCATGCAGCTGTGGTTGATCGGATGCATCGATCTGTAGCCGTACCTGACCAGTAAGGTGGCGACCTTGCCGTCCTTGCGGATGTTGTACTGCTTGCCATTAGGAGCGGTGTAAGAGATGCGCTGGTGGATAGCGTCCTTGAGGTTCCTCTGGCCGTCGACAACATTGTCAAAAGTTGGTGCAGTCGAATCTGTTCAACGGAAAAGCACTTCAGTTAGATCCCCAACCTTTGGAGGAGCATTCTCCCATTGAGCCAAGTAAGTTCAGGACCTCTTTTTTTTTTTTTAATTGATCTTTTCTCCATGAGGAAGACCATCGATGCATGCGGAGACGCCACCATTCCTCGACCTCAATAATAGGAACAACCTGATATTTACCTTCAAAGTCAGCCATAAAAGTAGCTGCTCCAGAATTCAAAGCATTAATCACCATCTTGCGATCCACAGGACCTGTGATCTCGACGCGACGATCTGCTAGACCTGGTGCAGGCTTCGCGGCCCTCCATGTGGGGTCCTCCCGGATATGGCGGGTCTCGGGCAAGAAATCAGGGAGACCACCCTGGTCGAGTTGGAGTTGGCGGTCCTTGCGACGCTGGAGTAATGCTTGGCGCGTGGGCTCGAAGGTGCGGTGCAGTGTGGCGATGAACTGGAGGGCCTCGGGCGTGAGGACCTCGGCGGCCTGCTCGTGTGTGACCTTGGCGAGGATGCTGACACCGGCGACTTTTGAATCGAATGGCATGGTTTATAAAGATATTTACAAAGAACAAAGGAAAAGAGAGTGGGGAGTGAAGAAAAGAGAGTACCGGAGGTGAGGGGAAGAGAGAAAGAAAGAAAAGAGAGAGCGGGCGTGGTCCTCTCACTTTGGAATAGTGCGTATTTATACAGAAACGAGGGTCGACACGAGCAACGGCGAAGAATAAACGGCGTCTATGCTTTTGTTGCGTTAGTCGCGTTGTGGGGGGAGGTTAGGAGGGTGGGGAAATCATCCTCGTTTGCGCGGGGAGCATTTCCCAAACTCTATGTCTGATCCCCTCTGCTCCCGTGTATTTCCGCTTCGAGTCGCTTTTTTTTGTTTGATGTGGAGGGCCGTTGCCCAAAAGGGATTCTTCGGAGCAGCAGCCGTCCATCCCTCACGCCCATGCAGTGTCCACGCACTCTACTCACCAATGTTCGCTCACACATACATCAAGGAGACCATAAAAAAAGTAGCCATGCAAAGCATATGTATTTTATTATGAATGAGTGTGAATGGGATGTGATGGAGAGAATAAGAATAGGAAAAGAAATGAGAAGGAAAAAGGACGTTGGCATGCAGAATAGTAATACAACAGAAATGAAAAAAGAGAATAGGAAGAGAATGCGAGGGATCCGACTACTTCTTGCGGTTGCTTCCCTTGGCCTTCTTTGTTATCCTCTTGGTCGCACGCAGCTCCTTCTTCATTCTCGAGTCAACCATCTTGTACCTAAAAAACATTGTGCCCAATTGCAATGAATAAAATAGCGAGTTGAGTACCACATTACATAAACAATGCATGGCGACATTGAACACATTTTTCCAGCATGCTGTCCATACCTTCCCTTGACACCCTTGGGGCGTCCCTTGTTGCCCTTGTTCGATCCCTTGGCGACAACCAGCTTAACCTCCTTCTTTGGCTTCTTGTTCTTCGCTCCCGCTGCCTTCGCCAGCAGCTTTGCAATACCAATTGACTTTTGCTTCTCCGAGATATCATCCGTCTCGTTGATCGCATCCGCCTTCTTCTGGATCTTCATCAGCTTCTGTGCAGCCTTGTACTTCTTGCGCGCCTTGGCCTCTGCAATCTTCTTGATCGGGCGTGCATCCAGTGCCTTCATGCGGTCCTTGATTACTTGCACAGCCTCCTTCGTGATCGGCAGGTTCGGCACATTGTGGTGCTGCTCGTCCTCCAGGAACCAGGCAGGCAGTCCATCCTTCTCTGCAAAGGCTTGCTTCGTGAAACCTTGGTCGATCAGGTCCGTCTTGGTCATCTTCTTGTTGACGAGCGATTGTGCAAGGGTCATGGCCTCGGCTGTAATAAGAGAATATTCATTGATCTGCTTGCGCTTTCGGCTGTCCTCCTCGTCCGACTCGCCATCCCACATCTCGTCGTCCTCGAACTCCTTGCTGACAGGAACCATTTCAATATCGTCCTCATCTGCATCTCCCTCAGCAGCCTATGTGTGGCAACAAAATTGATAAAACATCGGGATTAGCATATTTGTGATAGAATAACCCTTAAAATGAACATGGAACCACAGTTGACCGGGGATGCGTTACCTCTGCTGCCTTGCGTTTGAGGGACTTTCTGTTCTTGCTGAGCTGGCGAATCTCTTCGTCGCTATCCATTTCGACATCATCCTGCTCCTCAGCTTCCTCTTCCTCATCTTCTTCATCATCTTCCTCGTCATCGTTGCTTTCATCGTCAGCATCCTCATCCTCATCCTCCTCATCTTCCTCGTCCTCACCAACCAGACCCTTGAACATATCCTGGTCAAAGAACATCTTGGCGCCCTTTGTCAAACCGCTCTCAGTCTTCTTGCGGAGCTCAGCCTGCTCAGCATCATCCAGACCGACCAACAATGGGTTCTTCGAGCTCTTCTTGATCGTCTTTTTGGTATTGTTGTACGCACCAGGCAAGCCCTCTTCATCGTCGGCGCCAGAGTCCGAGTCCGTGTCCGAATCCGAGGTATCATCGTTCTGAGGAACCGTGGCATCTAGACCATCCTCCTCCGAGTCAGAGTCCTCCTCACCAGAGCCGTTCTTCTTAAAGCCCTTCCACTCGCCCTTGTCCTCGCGCTTGGCCTTGGCACGCAACTTGGCATCGCGCTCGAGCTGGCGTTCCTTGTACTGTTCATACATCTCATCCAGCTCCTCCATTAGCTCTTCATCGCCTTCATGGTCACTGTCCATATCATCGTCGTTAATAAACTGAGCGTCGATATCTTCCTTGACCAAGCTCTTGCCCTTGCGCCTCGAAATAGCCTTAGCGTCCTGCTCGCCCGTGACGATGTCCTCGCCCATATCCATCTCAGCGTTGAACTCCTCTGGATCGACATCTGTGTCGCCCTTGCGGACCATCTTGAGTCCTCCGGCCTTTTCAATGTTGGTCAACGAGAAGAGTGACTGTCCATCAGGTCCATCCTGCTCCAAACCAATATCTGTGGGGATGATCATTCCAAGCTGCATTCTCTGCACGTTCTTCTGCACGCGCTCGTTCTTTTGGCGACGACGGACACGATCCTGACGAGATTCCTCTGCTGCAGCGGCTGCAGCGTGCTCCTCCACAGCCTCCACATCATCCAATGCCGTGACCTCAACCGTCTCCTGTGTCGTCGCAGGCTTGGGCTCGGGCTTCTTGTCAAGACCGACCTGCAGACGAATGCTGAGACGCCACCTGAGCAAAAGCTTGAAATCCTTCTTTCCAAGAACCTTCAAATCCGCGCAGCACGCTATGATTTCTTCAGTCGTCTCTACACTCTTAACAAGCTTTGTTCTGGAATCCTCAGAATCGAACGAGAATTGATTGACGCTTCCAAGGGCAGCAACTGGCTCCTGGTGGGTGATGAACTCCCAGGCATCCATGGTCTTGTGCAACGTATAGTTTCCATCCTCGTAACCTTCACGCTGACGCTTGTGCTTCTCGGGATGGAAGACATCCATGGGCTGAGAGATCATGCCGGTGTCGACTTCGGAGAAGACGTGCTTGGGATCCAGGAACTTGGGGTCGATCTTCTTGGGGGCGAGGTAGTCGCGGCAGACGACGAAAATCTCGGCAGAGACGTTTCTGGAGGATGGGGGCTTGGTGGCCTCGACCTTCTTGAATAATTGCTGGAAGACCCACATAAGATTGTTGTAATCTTTGGATCGGAAAACCTTGGTGACGAACCAACCGCCCTTGTTGAGGAACTCTGTGGCGAGCTTCAACGACTGTAATACCAACTCTGACTGTGTGAATGCATCCTGAACCCAGGCAGTACCGACGTTAGGGGCACCATCGTGCAGCACGCTATTACATTTGACATTACAAAGATGATACATCAGTATGCCACTTTCACAAAAAAAAAAAAAAAAGCAAACCGATCCAATGAAGAATATTTCATGACTTACACGTCCGCCTTCCATGTCTTCAAGGTGGTGCGCAAAGTGGCCCTGCACTTTTCTGTGGTGATATCCTCGACATAGGTGATGACGTTGGGCAGGGGCTTGATGGCTGCCAAATCGACACCGACGATCAAACTGCTGACGGGCATCATCTTCGAGGCGACCTGTAACCAACCTCCGGGGGCAGCGCACAGATCGATCAGAACCTTAGACCGTTCAAGGAAATTGTACTTTTTATTGAGCTGGACCAACTTGAACGCAGAACGGGCTCGATAGCCCTGTTCTTTGGCCATGTGGTAGTACTTATCCAGACGTCCTACAAAATGTTAATTACATTGATGTTGTCAATATGGGGTCGTATTTATTTTGCTGGTGACATACGAAGAGTGATTCTGATATGATGGTTAAAAAGAGTTCTTACCCTTTCCGGTCTTCTTCTGAGTCTTTCCCATGATGAAAAAGTGTTTATATGGAGAAGAAAGGGGAGAGGGGCGATATGACTAGGTGAAGAAGAGAAAGGTAAAGGAAACCCTTTATTCTCTGGCAAAAAAAGGCGTCTAGTGAGTGGGGGTATTCAAGCAATAAAGTGATAGAAGACGTCTGACTTGCACAGCAGGAAAGAACAGCCTGTGTCAAGAGGAGGCAATGGGATGGAAAGGGGGGGATGTGGATGTGTCTTGACAGCGGTGTAAAAGCAGCAAGGGGACAAGCGATGTATGCTCACGAAAGGGTCAGGGCCTTTTTTTTTTTTAAGAGTGGCTTTCGTAGTTTTGAGTAAACAATCTGTATTTCAGGACTGCTTTCCTAAAAGAGAGAGGGGCAAACTCAGTTTCCCCGCAGCAGCACTTACTTTTTTGTGAAGTGAAGCCCGCAGTTCCACGCTGCGGCAAAGCAGCTCCAATAAAAGGCAACCCCCCGCTCCTCCCCCTTTTATTTTTTTTTTCTCATACCTTTTCACTTTCACGTATACCGCCGACCTAACAACGATGCCGCGGCCAGCGAATGCAAAGCCCAAGAAGGGCATCAACAAGCGCAAGCTGATGAACTCCATGGTCAACATCCCAAGCACTAATCCCGACCCATACTACCGCTACAAAATGTAACACAACGCGTATTTATTAAAGAAGAACGCGTGTCCAATTGAACTTCCTCCTTACTAACGAGCACAACATCTGTTCTCTCCGCTCAAATAGGCCCGCACTTGAAATTCGTATCAACCCCTCTCGCATCCGGACCAATAACCCCGCAAAAGAGCCCATCGAGACCCCCGCTTCCACCCAAATCCAGAACCTCACCGCCATCGCCCGGGCCCTCAATCGCCCGCTCGAATATCTCTCCAAATACTTTGAACTTGAGCTCGAGATGCAAGGGGTCATGGATGATCGTCAACGATGGTTCAAACTCTGTGGTGGGGAGGTCTCTGAATGGGAGCTGATGCGTGTCCTCGACAAATTTATCCGACGATTCGTGTTGTGTTATATCTGCAACAACCCCGAGACGGCCTTGACGATTTTCAATACCCATATCATGAAGGAATGTGGAGCCTGTGGACAGAGCACACGTGTGGATCGTTTCTCGAAATTGACGAGGTACCTCCTCAGGAACAGGAACTTTGGCATGGGATTTGTATCCGTCGCTCTTGATCCTACAAAGTAAGGTGCTTTTATCCAGTCACGCTTTTTGTGCTTTCAATTTGTTCCCTGAATCCTTTCGATGACTTTTTGCTCACTCTGTTGCAAAAAAATGCGAATTTGTTGACTTAGATGTCGGTTCTTGAAGGAGGGCGTTACTCAAACCAAGGGTACTGTCATGACCTCCGCAACAGGGTTCAAAAACGGTGTCAAGGTCGCTAGCGCTGCAGAGATTGAGGACGACGATGAGGATGAAGACGATGACGATGACGAGGATCAGGACTGGAAACTGGACACATCACTTGAGGCAGTTGCGCAGCGGAGACTGCAGGAACTCGACTTGATCACGCGTGTGGAAAAGATTATGAATGCAGGACTGGGCGACAAAGCCCGAGGTATGTCAATAGTAACCCCTCCTTTCGAATGCTGGGAAAAAAAAAAGAGGCAGGCCAATGTGTTTCGAATGATACTGACTGTGGTACGGTCACGGTTGTGCTTTTTTTTTTGGGGTGTCATAGATCCTTATAAGGTGTTTGAAGAGTTCGTTACAACACCAAAGGAGGCGGCAACAGGGTCAGGCCCAGTGCTGCCAGACAAGGACGAGGTTCTCGGTCGATTCTACACATTGGATCTCGAAAAGGAGGGCGCTATCCTTGTTTTGGAAAGACTGCAGAAGCGACAATTGGAACCGCAGGACACTGCAGCTGAAGGCATGTCTGAAGATAGTCCGACACCAGAAGTACCATCGGAGCAGGAGAGCAGTAAGACAGTGTGCCGAGAGGACTATAGCGAGATGATCCAGGTACTAAAGGATAGTCTAGAGCGTGAGGTGGCTGTGGAGGGCATCCTGGATGAGAGCAGTAGTGGTCTGAGCAGCAGCGACGATGATGATGACGACGACGATGAGGATGAGGATAGGGATGAGAATGAGAAGAAATAATAAAGGCAGTTGCGAAACTGTAACCTTGATGTTCATTGTATGTCTATCGCATATCGCTCTAAAGAGCTCAGGACAATGTAGTTTTTTTTTTTTTTTTTTTTTTTTTTTTTTTCGCTCCAATGGCTCTTGATCTTGGTTTCTGTTACCCGGTAATAGTTGAAATGGGCGAATTTGCGGTCCCAGGAGGGCGCGCCCTCTTTGCGAGGGGTTTCACACTCCGTAGAGGGATATGATACCCTGCTTAAGCAAGCACTGCTAACAATAGATGTCTCTTCATTCTTCTTCCCGGTGTCCCACGCCTATCGCGTAGCTGCTGTATCCTCGAGGGTCTCTGTGCCCTGCCTATTATTAGAGAGATGCACCTCGTTAGACAGACTCATTTGGAAATTGATCGAGGGGCCTATTTCTTCTTCAGACCACGGTAAGAGGGCACTGCTTGACACCCTTTGTCAATGCAATGCTTTGTCACTTCAACAGACACAGGCAAGAGGAAGCTCCAATGGCAGTGTTCCTGCCTGTGTGTCATTTGCGGCAGTGCCCTTCAAAGGGTTGGTTCGAGTGAATGTACGTGAACGTGTGTTGGGGGAAGGGGCTCTCTGCAGATGATGGATGCTCTCCCAAGTTCAATTCATGTGTAGAGAGAGAGACCGACCGGAAAGGCGTTTTTATGTGAGCAGATGGTAGTGTCTAGTGTATATCTGGATAACTGTATATCTGGCAGTGCGCACTGCACCCCTGCAGCGATAATGAATACAGGTAAGGAAAAGAGAGTTTCGAGAGCAATTTGTATCGTAAAAATAGCCCCGCTCCCTCGCAATAACGACCGAACCTTATTTGATTACACGCTTCCCACACGCGATCCATACATGGACTGGGCGGTTCGCTGCTGGTGCCTGGAAGCAGAGCCGAAGAACGGGTCTCGCCCTCGACTTGCATTGCTGTTTAAAAGGGTTTCGCTCGCTCCTATTCTCTCATCCCTCTTCTCTCATCCCCCGTCTCCCATCCCTCATCTGATCTCTCCATCTCTCCCCATCTCCTCCCTGCCCAACTCCTATACGTGAGCACCCCCCACCAAACATATTATAATAATGAAGATCACTGCCTCCCTCGCTCTCCTCGGCGCCATGGCCTCGATGGCCACCGCCTTCATCAACCCCACCGACCCCTGGGGTGACTCCATCTGGAAGCCCAACACCCAGGTCACCATCAGCTGGAACGACGACGGCAAGGCCCCCAAGCTCGGACCAGAGCATGTCTTTGACATCTACCTCAGCACAGGCGGCGACCAGAGCATGTTGAACATTGCCACTATCGCCACCGGTGTCAAGGCCGGCGAGGTCTCCAACATCACCTACACCGTCCCTGAAGTCACTCCCCCCGGCAAGAGTAAGTGTCTCTTTCATTTGTTATCATATCCCAAACAAGCTCAATTGCCACCGACATCCGAGGGCAATCCCCAGTTTTTTTATTGGGGGAGGGGACACAGATATTTTTACCTGCACAAGAGCATTTTACAGAGGCGTAACAGGACCGGCCCATTGGAGCAGCACAACTACAATAGGAATGGCTTCTTCAGCAAACAGCAACAGCAACAGCAACAACTGGTAACAACTACCAGGACTATTGAAGTCCATCCACCAGCACAGCAACTCGTTCTGTCGTTCTGTTGTCAGCACCTTTCTGGCTCTCAGATACTTCAACGGAAATGGAATCTTACCAGCAACCCGCGGAGAAGGATGTCTGCATTAAACAAGAAACCGAGGAGTCGCATTGGTCGTGTGAGGCCCAAAGAGCCCCTCTTCGTAAGGCATTTCGGAAACCCAATCTAACCATTTTATTTATTTTCCCCCCCTCTACATAGTTTACTTCTTGACTTTCAAGGCCACTGCTGGACAGTTCAGCGATGTCAACAACCCCGGCGGTCTCGCCTGGAGCACCCGCTTCACGATCACAGATCTCGCCGGCAACCCCGGTACGCTCAAGCCCACCGGTGTTCCCGGTCAAAACCCCGGTGCTATTGGTGCCACTGTCGCCCCCGGCGCCGGTAGCCCTAGCGCCACTGCTACTGCTACTAGCACTGCCGCTGGTAGCGCTGCTCCCTCGGGCGCTGCCTCGCCCACGAGCGCTAGTGCTGCGCCCGCGGCTACGAGCAACACCAGCGGTGCTGGCTCCGTCGGTACTTCCGCCCTGTTCGCTGCTGCTGCTGTCATCGTCGGCGCTGCTGCTTTGGCTCTTTAAATGAAAGGAATAGTGCGGTAGTTACCTTCCCATGGGCTATCGAGGTCTTCCTTTTTCGTTTTCACCATGTCGGATCATGACTGATCCGGCGATTAAAATAGCTAAAAAAAAAATGTATTGTGTCATACTTTTTTAAAAGTCCCATTTTCATACCCCCCCCCTCTTCTCACCTCCAGCTGATCCCTAGTATGAGTATCTGTTGCCATTTTAAAAAGAATAGCCATAATATGACCTTGTAGAGTAATAAACAGAATGCGACCATCTAGTCTCTTCACTTGACCACTTGAACAGTGTAATCGATTGAGTATTCAGGCTTAGAATTAGATCGCAATGCTGAAGGTGGAGCGGCCCCTTCTCTTAGACGCCAAAAATCGATCTGTGCGCCTATTGATGAGGTCGCAATTTGAAGGGCCGTGAGTAAACTAAACTGGGACGTTGTAGACGCGCGCGCATGGGCATTATCAAACAGGCAAACGTTTAAACTAGCCAGTCTTTTTTTTTTTTTTTTTTTTTTTTTTGGAAATTCGATCCCTTTTAAACCATCAGAATCATTGTTGTAGTTGCTACTGTCAACGCAACTGCGGTCGTCTGACTTCTGTGTTGCCCTTAGGAAACGAGGATGCGGTGGAAGTCGATGCGCGGAGGAACGATGCTAAATAGTACCCTATGCGATTTATACTCTCCTAAGCCCTGGTTGTCAAATCGGATTGGTGGAGGGCGAGCGAACGAGGGCCATAAGAGCTTTCGCTGTAGACAGCCGTAAAAAGCATGGTGGCAATTTAGATCATCTTCTGGAACATCAACATCGGGGGATTGGTGTTAGTACTGGACCTGTAGCTGCAGTGGTGATTGTTCGAGCGCCGCAAGCCGTTCCATCGGTCTTTGCAGAGCCTCGTCCCAACACCTATCGCTATCACGCTGGGCCCTGCTCTAGGATTCCTATATGACTTTGATGAGTAGATTCCACCAAATGGTCATGCTCCTGCCGCTGTCGTTATTCCCATCCGCTCATTAAGTGTATCCAAGAGGTTCGACTTTGGCGCGATGCATCTCCCTCTGAAAATATCACTCCTGAAATTGTCTTCATTCGTGCCTAATGCGGCGCAGATTTAAGCGTACAATAATTCTCCTCTAGTCTTGAAGTAATAGGCCGCTGCCGGTTTCATGTAAACCAGGCGCAAGCATTCTCTTATTTACACCCTGCACAGCGGGGAGTCTTTGCTATTTTGAGTTTAGTGCGTGCTCCATTTACTGTACAGGATGATCAGTATCAATGGTGGTGCTAAGAAGTGAATGCACTAAAATTCATTAGCCCTGTGTTCAGACCGATATAATGGACAAAAACCATACACCATTCTACCACTATCAAGACATAATGCCAACGTCATTTATCCCTTTGTTCATTTTTAGAGGTTGCCTCGATAGTTTTTATTGCCAAAAGACGATGCTCAAAAATAAACAGGTGCGAAAAGAATGGTTGTTTTCCTGACATTAGCCTGACAATGGCGTTCCCTTAGGTATCGTCGACTGAACTCCACCCTCGGTTGTTGAATTCACCACGCCTGACAAATAGACAAATCGTTCCTTTGTTCATGCTCCAGCATCCTCCATGCAATAAAAAAAACCGGTCGGTATCCAAAGGGTAACAGTGAAACAGTCTGAGCCACTCTTAACGGGTCTTGAAGTACTCCAAGAGGACGTTCATGGCCTCAGACTCCTCACCGAAATCCTTGACGACAACGCACGAGCATCCAACGACCTTGCGGGCATTGCCCTCGCGGTCGATCTTGCAAAGACCGGCCCACTCGCCCAACTTCTTGGCATCGGAGACCTTGATCAGGTTGATGTTGTGCTCAGCGCAGAGAGCCTCGACCAACTTGATGTACTCCTTCTCGGTACAGGTCTCGACGAGGACAGCCATATGGGCCTGACGTCTAAAGACAACAGCAATGGCAGAACAGAAAAACTACGTTGTTAGACAACCAATTGGATTTGTGGCTGTGCCTACAACGTAAAAAACAGACCAATCGTTGTCGTCCGTACCTGTCAAGGGCCTTGGCGCACTCACGGAGACCACGGGCGAGGCCATCGTGGACAAGGGCACGCTTCAGAACGTCCTGGAGAGCTTCCTCAACGGACATCTGACCACGGGCAGAGGTATCGGCAGCGACCTCAACCTCGGCAACCTCAATAGCGGCATCTCTTTCTGCAGACATTTTTTGATTTTTAATATGGGGGTAGACGTCCTCGCTAGAAACACAGAAGCCGAAGAAGGGCACCATTATTGTGAGTATGCCGGTTTTATTGTTCATACCGGGATGACGCGCATCCTCGATAGTATCAATTATATCAATTGTATTGATTGAGTCCTGAACTGTTACATTCTATTTGAATTGTCGATCCAGTGATGCTGGATCATTCGAATGTGCCCATCCCAAATCCCAAAAAAGTTGATTCTCGCATTACTGATGAATATCGATCTTAACTCTGGTGCTGGTCCTGATACTGTATATCATTCGATATCCTTGATACGCGCTTCTATCCCGTGAGTGCTGTCGATCCTTTTTGCTTGCGTTCAGTTGTGTATCCTTCCTGAATGGGGCCGAATCTGCAGTGTCGCAACTTACATGTCACAAAAGTGGAAGATCTCAACATTTCAAATTTTTGCAGTTCTTTTATTGGAAGAGGTCCCCAAACGCATCCGATAAAAAACAAACCATGACGTGAGCAGGAAGCAGCTGCTCTGCTGTTTTTTAACTTGGTGTGCTAGCACTATTTAACTAAACGTTTCAGTCTCATTTTAAGCTAAATACAGTCCCTTTTTGAACATTTTTCAGCTGCAGCACACCAGCACGAGGTACTGGCTAAAAATAAAAGAGGGCGCGCGCGCGCGCCAAAAAGCTCTTTCATGAAGAGCCGTAGGCTGCAAGAGATAAATAATACCGTGTAGATCTGGCGTTTTACTTATTACTATTTATTTTTCTTGATCTTAATGCTTCTAAGAGTACTGCAGAAACGGGTAGTTCGCTTTAATCCACATGACAATCTCTTCTTCCTGGCCCTTTTCCTCTCCCTTCAAACAGGCCACGAATCTCTTGTAGTGCTGGCCAGTTCTTGCACATCCACTGCACCTCCTTTAGCCCAATCCGATGATCCATCCGTGTGACCTTCAAAATCTTCAAGTGCTTCAGTCTGTCCATCGCCTGTAGGCCGCTCTCGAGCGACAGCTCCAGGCATGGCTGCTGATAGCACGCCGGGACTTCCATAATGAATAGTCCATTCTCGTCATCAACCCCAAGGGCAAGCTCCTCAAGCGCCGAAAACGACCCAAGGAACTGGCATACCTTGACCTGCGTCTCTCTTTCTAGTTCCGGATCGTGACCAGCAATATTGACACGGACGCCACTGATCATCAAGCGGAGCACCTTGAGCGTCCCAGCACAACGCCAAGTCGTGGCTGCCAAGCCGTCGTTGTTCAGAACATCCTGGATTAGATGCCTCGCATCCAGATGACACATTCGCGGGCCATATGTCAGATAGCCCGAAGGTAAGAGATCGAGATATTCCAGGGAACCTAACATAGGGAGCATCTGCATGACCGCCACGCCTGGCTCATTTTGCCATTCTTCATGAGATGCCTTAAAGTTCTTGACCGCAAGATGGGTGAGCGTAGCTGCTTGCCGATGGATGGCTTGAATAACCGGGTTATATGACGTCTAGATGACGCCAAGGAGCAGGAGCTTCTTCAACCCCACGCGTCCATGGCACTCCTTGGGCGTAGCATCGTTACGAGATAGCAGTGGTGATTGAGTTGGCGTGGATTCTGATGGTGCTGAGCTTTGACAGCACGCATCTAAAAGACAGGCAATTTTTGGTATCTGGTCAACAGAATAATGTTTTGTGTAGAACGCCAGCTCCTCGATCATGGGGCAACACTCTTTAATGGAGTCGACAGTGGAGGCCAGCAAACTTGTAGAGCAGCCTATGAGACTGAGCGATTGCAGCTCTGGGCAACGGCGTAGAAACTGGGGCCGGGCAGACAGAGCTGCATCACCCTCCAAAATCAGTCTCTTGATTCCTGTCTTGGTCGCGAATGTCTCGTTGGTATTACTGCCTTTGACCGGTACCTCGACAGTAGCCTGGCCTGAGATCCTCAGTGTCTCTAATGCAGGTGAACAATGATCCAAAAGGTATCCCAGCCGCTGTTGATCGCCGTCTCCAGGGTCGATTAGAGATAGGGACATTAATCCTAAATCGAGCGATCGAGCTGAGAGTATATTCATCGCCTCGGCACTCCAAAGAGGTTTTCGGACACTGTGGAGCATCTTGATATGGGGTGCACTCTGGAGAAAACGCAAGAGTAATAGCATGTCGAATGGCTCGTCTTGAACCCAGGCCATTGGTCGTGGAATGTCAGACGGGGCATGAGGAAGTTCGAAGGGATACAATATGATATTTTCGAGAAGATCCTGATTAGGGGTTTCTAGGAGGGATTGCAACTGTTGCTGTTGCTGCTGGAATTGCTGTTGCTGCTGCTGCTGCTGATAAACCAAAGTGCTGTGATGTTCCAATGATACTGCGTATCGTCGAAGCTCTTGCTGGGATAGCAGTCGTTGAAGCCATTGACATTCGGTTAAAAGGATTAACTGCAACTCTCGAAGCTCTCGAAACTGTTCTCGCGATGGATGGTCTATCGGTATACCGGGAATTGAAAGTGTCGTTCGAAACGCTGGAGCCACTGCTCGCATGAACCGCCGTGTGCTTTCTTCCACTGACTGAAATCGCTCAAGTAGATTCCTGGCCTGGTCTTGCTCCTGCTCCGAGAACCATCGCGCCGAGGCCTTTGGCGCTTGTGCCCGCGACTCGTGCAGCTGAGTTAGATGGTTTGCTTCTGTCCACACCTTGGAATTCTGTTCAAACAGCTCATCTAACTTTTCCGCCAAATGACGAATGGATCCGAGGCGTCTCCATTTTACGAATTCCTCTTTGTATATTTGGCGCTGGCGAATCGCATGGGTGTCGAGGAAATTCTTCAAAAAGAGCTCTCGTTCATCTAACCAGTCCTTGTCGCTGTAGGCCTGAGTAATCTCTACTTGCTGTGCTGAAAAAATAGCTGGGGGAGCCGCGTAGACCAACTCGTTATCAATCTTGGATATATGCAGCGCTCGTGAAATGTCCTGGCGTTCTTGATCGACTCGGATCGGCCAAGGGAACTCGAGGATATGCAAGGACGGCAGGTGAGTCAATTGAGCACTCAAAAATGGCTCCAAGCTCTTACAGGTCTGAAGACGGATTACGCGGTTATGGCGGATGTTTCTTGCAATAGCCCGTTGGACCTCTGGGCAGGCAGTGAAGCGACGGTGTTGAATAAGGGTCTTGATGGAAATGGTGTGCCAAAGGAAGGGCGAGAACAGTGGCAGACACGACTTTGACACGCGGCAGCAATTGGCCAGGTCTGTATTGGAGAGAGTAGACTAGATGAGCAATAGGAGCTCTGGTATCTCTGCCATGGTGAGGTGGTTGGAATGGGCTGGCTGTTGGGACAAAACAAGCGAGAGGTGGGAAAATAAAAGTGGCCCCCTTTATTTGAATCCTAAAAGTGCTCAGCTGCTGTGCTCGCAGCCCTCCTTTGTCAACGCCCCCTGCACCACCCGCCAGCCAACCAACCATGCAGGAGCAGGAGCAGACAGGCCCATCTGAAGAGACGGTACTGACCTTCAGTCTGGTAAGCAAGCCAAGCAGCATCGCCACCGCCCGCACGCTTCGAACTTTGGAACGCGTGAAAACTGATCGAGCTTTACCACTCTGTCTGTTGCGAAATCAGCTCAGAGGCCCTGCCTCGCACCTCATGAGTCTTCCCTCCATAGATGCATCTAATGCTCAGGAAGCCGCTCGGAATCTCGAATCAATCTGCACTGTTCTGCGCGCCATGCCCGATCCAGAGTCCCATTTTGACAAGAAGCTGATCGCCTATACTCAACATGCCCTCAACCATGTTCTCCAGCTCTGCCAAAAGTTTATGCTGCCGGAGAAGCGCTTTGATTTTCTGGTCGAGGCCTGGTGCAAGTGCCTGGATTTCATCCTACGGCTGCCAGACGGATATGCATTTGTGATGGGCTCCAATTGGCAGTTCAGCATGGTATTGCTCGACGTCCTGCTCCGCGTAGTCGATGGCCTGATGCCAAGGCCACCACAGGCACAAAAGCAGACTAAAGACGCCACAACGTTGACAAAGGATCGAATGTCAGATGAGACGCGTCTTGCAGCCCTTCGATGTCTGATTCTCGCCCTTCCTCAGGATAAAAGCGCATCCACCCTACTGGATGGAATTGCAGACACAGGATATGCCCTTCCGGATTCAGAAGACGTGATGAACAGTTTTGGAAGGCGACTGAGGACAAACAAGGACACAGAAGTTCAGGCACTTCTCCTAGGCCCGAAATGTCAGTCTCTTATCGGTCAAACGGTGCTCGCTCTTTTGGATGCTGCCAAGGACGCCAATCTTTTGTCTCTTCGTACGACCGCATTGGAGGGTGTTAGGAGGTTAATCGGATGTCTTGAGACCCCAGAGCGAATTGCGACTTGGTTTCCAGGGGTGGCGGCCGGCCTCACCAAGGCGATGACGGAGCGTGGACTCAAAGAACACCACAGTGTCTTATGTAAAGCACTGGAAATTTGGACGTTCATGATCGTACACGTTCTCGGTGGTCAATTTCCTGCTGGGCCATCAATGGAGGAAGCGGTGGCGAGCGGCGCAAGCCTGAGTGCGACACTGATGGATATGTATAAAACCAAGGCCAAATTGACAACCCAACCGGTAACAGCAACAACAACAACAACAGCATCTATGGCGGAGGGGTTTGGATCAGTGACATGGATGAGGAAGATGAATCATGGCCTGCAGACCCTCTTCAAACAGGTTGCACCGCTGCGGAATCATTCTCACTGGATGGTGCGCTACCAATTTGGAGAAATGGCGTTCAGGATCCTCAAGGATTGCCAGAACCCGATCACCATTATGAGTGGAGGTCCAAGTCCGTTTGGAGTTGCAGCTTTCTTGCTCGAGACATTGATTGGATGTACGCAGGACGAATACAAGGATGTATCCACGCCCGCAAGATCGTATATTGGACAACTCACCGCAGAGTACAAGGACATGGGCCTTACAAATGTTGGCAAGGAGATCTTGCGAGAGAGATTGATGGCTCTATCCCGCGTACTATATGGGATCGATGAGAGAGTGAAGCAGGGCGCGATCCGGATGGCACAGGGACTGACGCTGTTCATTGGGACTCAGATGCGGTCGCTTATCAACCACCAGACCTTGTTGTCCTATGTTCAGCCATGGATCAACGTTTCGACCGTCGAGCAGCTGGATCCGCATAATATGGAGGAACGAGGTGGACTCTTGGATACGGCGTCTACTGAGAATAGCATCGAATCAGGGAATATGCAAGAGCAATGGAGGGTATGGGTCCAGTCGCATAAAGGATCTGGTCGAAAGTTCGGTTTTCCTCGCAGAATCCATCTTCACTTGCGAGAGCAGCAGACATCACACGCATTCATGGCTTTTATTCGGCAAGTTGGATCAACTACAGAGATCGACATCTGGACAGAAGAGCTCATTTCATGCCTACAGCAGGATAGCCGGGCGGTGCGCGACAACCAGGAATGGTTCGACTCTAGATCTGTCTCGTCTGTGCTAATGTTGAACCAACTGCTTCTTGGAGCTTACGGCATCAAGCTTTCAACTATCGGCGACACATTCAACCCAACTACAGCAGTCAACAGCACACAAAAGGATCTGGACGGCGAGAAGAAGGCATCGTCTCTTAGAAGAAAACGCCAACGACATGTCAGAAGAGCTGCGAAGAGTGTGCTGGATGAATACTTGGCGGTCTTGGCGGAATGTTCACAGATTTCCGCCGACGTGACAGCGAGACAGGAAGCGACTCAAAATGCAGCGTCGTCTGCAGCCAAGAATAGTCGGACCAAAAAGCTGGCTCTCGCATCGCTGTTTGGCATGGAGGGTGAAGGATTCGATATTGAGCAACCCGAGACCGTGATTTACGACCACAACACCGATATCACCTTGCAGTGCCTGCTTTTGGAGGGGATTGCATCTGTCGCTCTGGTGCTAGGTGGTACGGAGTTTGAAATGGAACTTGTACGAGTGCTGTACGTCTTACTCGAACATCTTGGCGATCAGGATTCGGCGCTTGTGAGAGACACTGCTGAGGCGACACTAGAACACGTTGCGTTTGTTTGCCACTATGACTCAATCGGGGATTTGATTCAGGCTAACTACGACTATGTGATTCATCAAGTGTCACAGAGAATCGCCTTCCTGGGTTCGAACCCGAAAACGCCGCAGGTCCTTTGGTCGCTCATCCGCGTTGTTGGACCGCCTGCGATCTCCATGCTGGAGGACTCGGTCACAGAGATTTTCGACGCTTTGGATCATTGGAAAAGCCAGGAAGATCAGATCGGTGAGGGGCTTTTGAAGACCCTCTGTGAAATCGTCAAAGTCATGGCGCAGGTGGCTACATCATCATCATTCGCCGGAGCATCTGAGGCACCTAGGGAACAGAAACGAGATTCTGGAGTCATGATGTCGGTGGGATTTAAGTTTTCGTCATCGGATATGGCCTCCGCAGAGGTTTCATTATTTGCCAAGACGTATCGCATTATGATTCAGGATGTTGAATCAGACGACGAGGAGTCAGAGAAGATGAGGAAGGAGACTGAAAACATGACAGCGGACCAAACTCGAGACTACTTCATGAAGCTGTCCAGGGAAGCCAAAGAGAGGGAGGAAAATCTGCTTGGACAAGCCGAGGATGAGAGTGGTCGCGGAGAATCGGATCGAGATGCAGACGACGACGACTCGATGTCCTTCGGGGACCTGCGAGCCAGGATGCCAAAGCCCTCGAAGGAGTCGAAGCCAGAGCCTCCAACAAAACACCAAGCGCTGTGTCTTCGAATCTTGGAGAAGGCGGGCTACTTTCTGACGGCTACCTCGCCTCGCATGCGGATTCTAGCACTTGAGACGATTCAGGATGCAATTATTGTGCTCAAGGATCGACCACAGGAGTTGAACCCCGCCATCCACGCCTTTTGGCCCTCGATTGTCGGCCGTGTACTGAAGCGATCTGAGAAGGATGTGTTTTTCGTGAGTTTGAGGGCCATTGAGGTGGTCACAGTCCTAGCTGAAAATTGCAGCGATTTCCTTGGGCGGCATTTGCTGGACGATGTTTGGCCCTTTATCCTAAGAGTGGTGCAAACATGGACGAAACCGCCATCGTCAGGGTCGAAAGTCGCACGGGTGAGAGATGTTCCAAGTGGAAAGAAAACAATTACTAGCACAATGGAATCCAACTCTACTTCCAAGCATGAACGTCAACAGTCAAGAAAACAAGGCAGACGTGCCGGATCCGAGAAGGTCTTCACAATGGAACATCGGCTACAAATGGCGACTCTTGAGAGTGTAAGCAAGGTTGTGCGCAAGGTGCACATACCGGTGCAACAGATCTGGGAGATGCTCTTGCTGGCGAGAGATATGATACTGGATCATAACATGAATCTGCATTGGGATGTACGTATTGCAGCCGCAGACGTTGTGAAAAGCATGGCAGTTGCGGGACATGGTGACTCAGTATTCGTGGCATTGGACGAGGTAGTACAACAGCACGAACAGGATCGGCGTGAAAGTGGCAGTGGCAAGGATGCTGAAGACGAGAATGACAATGCCGTGCAGATGTGCCGCGATATCTTCGCGTTCATGGAGGAGCAGTCGCTGTAAATAGTCAACTTGGTTGCAAAACCTCCCTATCATATAGACTATACTTGGCGCTGTAATTAATGAAATAAAAGTACTTACCCATGCACTCTTATTTTTCCTTCCGCCCAGTTCACATCTCTTTGCCTCCATCGTCCCTTTGCTCATTGTACTTCCCCCTATATCTCTTTTTTTCCTGCATGACAAGTGGCACTCTGCCTGTCCTACTATTCGTGCCATTCCCGATACAATTGTTCGTTCCGAGCATGAGACTCGGGATGTAAGCTTGCCGAGATTCGGAAGAGTTTGTCTTATTTCCTAGACCACCGCCACATCCTGTAAGTGGAAATCTAAAGTATCAAGGCACTTCTAGGATAGTTTCTCGATAGCGAGCCATAGTGGCGAGAAACAGCTCTGGGACGTACATGAGCGGGTAGTGCAGGCCATGACAGCCTCAGGATGTACTCAAATGAGGTCAAACAAGATCAATTGCACTGTGAGGAAGACAGACTTTGGTGATGATGTTGGAGTATCGAGGAATGACCTTCCTGTGGTTTCATCTCGCTGACCGGTATACAGATCTGGCTGGCACTGGTAATGGGCCTTCAGATCCCGAATATGACGAGCGATCCGAACCAGGGCTTGATTGCTTGCTTGAGGCCCTAAGGTCCTATTGTCCCCATCGTCATCCATGAAGGATAAGGACCCGTAGTGAAGTGGTGCCTACACCTCCCGCACAAGATGACACGTCTACATAAATCACGCGAAGTCCTGAGTCGTTTGGCGCGGGGATGGCAAGCCATCGAGGTTGGGTAGCGTGAAGGTCTTGATAGCGGACATGTTTGATAGTAGAAAGATGTAAGATAATAAGGGTTAGGATTTTATTCAAAGTTTATGGAGAGTAATGGCGAACGCTATCCGACTGTCAATACGGAAGCCTCGAAAAATCGTGGAAAGTGTCTCCGTTCAATATTAACTGCTGCATATTCTTCAACCGCGCGAGCTGTTCAAACAGCTTTTGTTGCAGGACATCCAAATCCTTTAGCTTTGTGTGTCGCTGAACCATCTTTACCATACTGGTGATCTGCAAGCCCAGCCAGAGCCATCAAATCCTTCAACTTCATGAGCACAAATACATCAACGGGTCTTACGCGTCTCACAGACTTTCATAAGTGTCATGAAATGCAGCGCTAGTTGCGATAGCTTCACTTGGACGGGTTTCAGGACAGACATGGGTCCGTCCTCCAGATCGTTCGAAATACACCTAAGCTATCAGATGCCGCCTGAGTTCAAGGAATTTTGCCAGCAACTGGGACAGTATTGTTCGCTCCTGGACGAGAACTGTCTACATAATATCACTATTGATAAGAGTGGTCTTGAATGCCTGCTTGCAGCGTGCCGAAGGATCGCCAGTTTCAAGGGCTCGGAATACGATCATTTAAAGAAAGTGCGGCTATCTATCTGTGATCCTCAGACAGCAGACGCTTTGGGAGTCTCTGAAGCATATCTGGATACCAAACTTTATACCTAACACAGAGATAATATATCCAACCTTGGTTTTGACGTTGCTGAGGAAGTTCAGGCGACTAAGAACGGTGTCATTGCTGGAATATCTCATTGACGCAAAGGATATGGTTCAGCTGGGCGGGGGACTCGACGTTCCGTCCGCCTGCCGTGAACTGGAGGTGCTTGAGGTGCACATCATTGGGCCAGATAAGTACTGGGCTCCTTGAGAGGTATACGCATATGACTACGGGCCTTCAGAGGATGAAGACCTTGTGAGTCAAGAATACCTTAGTTCGTCTCTGGAGCCGTCATCGCAGCCAAGAAAGCACGAGTTGTACGATGCGGTGATGAAGCAGCTCAGTACACTGCCGAAACTTGACATGACCAGTGTGTAATTCCTGTACAGGTACAGCTATTAGGGTTTATGCGCCGCTTCAGAAAGATAGTCCTATCATGAGTCCTACTGCTTCGAAGACTTTGGTGCATGCTACCGGCATGTGGGGTAAAAAACGCTTAAAGGTTTCAGAGAGAACATGGGGATCGACATGGCTGTGTTTTATTATTATAACTCAGCTCCAAAGGGGAGTGCGCCCCGGCGCAGCAGCAAGTTCCTCGGGAAACACACAAAAAGCACAAGACCGCAGCCTTGAACCGTGGCGCCTCATTCCACCAATTCGGTCATTTCAGTACCCATCACACCATGACCCTGATCATGACCATTTTTGACATTCCTGAGATCAATCTCCAGATCGCAAAACATTTGCCGCCAGCAGATCTTGCCAGCGCCTGTCGCGTATGCCGCAGCTGGTTCGTACCTTTTGCAAGCCAGCTGTGGCGCTCGATCCAGCCAGATCAATGGACACATGGTGCCCTTACGGACGCCCTCCCTCGGTACTCAGTCTTTGTGCGGCAACTTAGGTGTTCCCTTTTTGTCAACCTGGACACGCTCGGCCCTGAATGCACCAGACTGACGCTGTTCAAGGCTCCAAGACTGAACCACTCAGCCTTTCCTGTCCTCAAGCGAATCCTAGAATCCAATCCAGATATCGAGGAACTCACGTTGATATCCGACTTTGGAATGAGTGCCATACAACTGACGATGGAAACCATCAGGATTGTGGCGGGCTTGGCAAAAATGAGAAAGCTGGTGCTGATGGACTTTGTGGCTCCTCGAGGAGCGCTTGAGTACATGATGGAGAAACTGCCTAGGCTGGAAGCGTTGAGTATCGAAGGATGGGAGGATTTGCCACCATTAAGTCAAGAGGTCGATCCTGCCACTGGGGCTGTGGTATTGAGTGGTGCAATGGAGGAGGAGGTCTCGGATATGACAGAGCAATTTGGACGGGACTCTGAGCAACAGCATCAACAGCAAGGACAGCGCCAGCTACGATACTTGTCCATGGATGAGTTTCAAGATGGGTACGAGTCTGTGCTCAGGATCGTTCGGCATACACCTCTACTCGAGCATCTCTCACTTACACAAACGCGTGCCAGTGCAATTGACCTTACAATATCCCCCCAACTCGTGCAACTCTGTCAGCAGCTGCGATCTCACTGTCCGCGTCTCGACCAGCTATCGCTGAATTATATCTCCGTTGATATCGGAGGACTTGAGTATCTATTGATGGCGTTTCCCAGGATGAGAAAACTCGCGGTCAACAACGTCTATTTGCCACAACTCGCTCTTCTTTCCATGCTTCTTAACCAGGACGCTCTTCAGGAGTCTCTAGAGGACATAAGGATCGCTGATATCGGCGCGATTGTCGACACATTGGCTTCGTCTATGCTATTGGCACTATTAAGGAAGTTCAAAAAGCTGAAGAGGGTCTCGTTGCCATTCCATATCATTGAAGCAGAGGACATGATTCGATCCGATGGCGAGTTTAAGGAAGAGCTCACATGTCGTAACCTCGAGGTGCTCGAGGTCTCCATCATTGGGCCCAACAAGAGCTGGGCGCCGCCTGAGGCGCATGCAGAGGGAGACTTGGATACAGATGACGAGGACGAAAACCAAGAGGAGCAGCCCAGAGAGTACGAGTTGTACGATGCGGTGATGAAAAGGCTTGACGCTCTGCCGAAACTTGACAAGAACACGATACGTTTCAGATACAAGACCTTTTGAAATAGGAAATTGCTATTTGTCGACCGGTGTGGTGCGGCAAAGCTGGATCAAGAATAATAAAATAAATGCAGGGCAGGGCAGTATTTGCTCCTGGTCCTTTTTACTCCCAAGCATCTCGTTGATGAACATGTTTCGGCGTTGCCCACTCTGAACTGAAAGCGCCGATTATCCTTCTACACTGTGCCACGCCCGTTTCGGGTATACCTTGCCACAGCTGGTCTTCACACACATTGCGCCAGCAAGAGTAGGGACGGGGTTGTGTGCCTTTCCTATTCGAACACTAGACGTCGCGCATGCTCAGCAACCAGTCTCTCTTGGTCTTCTTTACTGATATCACTTAGCGATGGTGATCCTTTTTATTGTACAGCATAGTTTATCTTGAGTGCAACGAATGGTTTGTTCTATATGGTTCCCTCACATTTTCACTCGGCACGAGAATGTGTCGTGTCAATGCTGATAGCACCTTTGAGCTCCCCACCGTCTTTGTACTGGAGACAGCATTACAATACCACACTGGTCAAAGAGTTACGAACACTCCAAAATCGCGAAATGAAATGGTTCTATAAACATGGGTAGGAGGGACGAATCCAGGAGCAGGGAATAAATGCTTACATTAGGCCTCGCGTATTAAACCAACTCAAAGATTGAACAAGACTTCAATGAGCGCCGCATGGCTGCATTACCTGGTCGTTACACGATGATGTGGATTGGTTTCTTTGCTGCTCCATCAGGGAACACATTTGAAATATCACTTGTTGGGCCAATTTTCTTCTCATTCAGAGTGTTATGAACTGAGTAAGGAGGGCAGGTGCAGAGAACCGAATGCAAGCCTGTCGTAAGTATCTGGAAGTGTCTGGATTAAGCGCATAGTCCCATGTATAGGGAGATATCAACGAAGAAAGGGATGCCTTCGCCAGATGCTAATTGAAGCAAAAAGTAACGCATCTTACCTCTCAAGGTAGGCAACAAGGGCCAGATAAAATGCACCTGCAGTAAGACTCAGTACAGACAGGGTCCTAAAGACTTGCCTACCGAAGGACCTGAGTCGCACAGAATTACACCCGGCGTTTGCGCGACCACGTTCGCAAAAGCATTTAAAAGTAATAAATAGGACAAAATGCTTTGCAAACCGACATACCTATAAGCGTTATACTCTTGCGGGAAAAATCTCCTTGTGTGAACGAATGGGACGTGATTGCACTTGGATAGTCAGGAGTGATTGTTAATATAGAAGCAAAATGCGCGATGGGTCCTGGATGGCATCTCACTGTCCAGTGGATTAACCTGATCCGAATTCAAGCGTGAGGAGGCTGCACCCAACCGCTGATCTGACAATAACCCATTGCCAGACTAGCAAGAAGGAGCTGCAGACCATCAATGTATGGACTATAGGCCATCTCCCATATCCAAATAGGGAACGGTAAGCAACGTGAACCGCGAATCGCTTGACACAGGATTGCCCCATGCGCACGCTGCCATACCAGTCTATAGTCCTCCATCAGTTTTTGACAAAGCCCGCTGCTGCGAGAAAATGAAGACATACTTGCAAGTGATTATTCTTCACGATTATGTTGGCCGTTATGGGCAAAACCAAGGCATGCCTGCTTTATTGTCAAGCAGAGCGCGGATCTGCCGACTGGTAAATAATCTTATTGGTCGACCGGTGTATTTTGCAGCACCAGTAGCGCCGCAGATTCCATCTTTACGCGTCATATGGTTTTCAACACGCGTCTACCGCTGCTTATATCACAGCTAAAATACACTCTGCCCATCTTTCAGTCCATCGGCGCACCTGTTCATGTCGTTTGACGCGTCATTTTCTGTGCTTTTGTTAAGGATTATTATTCTATTCTTTTTTCGACATCTGCTGTCGCCTTCTTTCATTGCGGGGCATGACGGATAGCAGCAGAAAGAAGATGGGAGCTCGTGTGGATTATATATGGAGGAGTATGCTGGATCCTGTCAAGATCTGGCAGGCAGACAGATAGGAACGAGAATAGCGTGCAAATAAAGGGGCAAGAGCAGGTTCAAGACAAGGAGGTTTTGTATTGCAGACTGAGGGGCTGCTATGTGGGGGGTCTAACAACGAGTTTTGTAAATTCTACCATTAGCTGTATTTACAATAGGAGACGACACGCGATTAGGACTTCTGCATCGACTATAAGTTTCTCTCACTTTCTTATGCGTAGTTGTGTCGAGATCTTTGAGCTGGAAGTCCGTATTCCATATTGCGTTCACCGCCCACATTTTCGTAGTTCATCTTGATGGCTAGGTCATTGACAATATTTGCTGATCGGTGCTGAAAGGCCAAGAAAATAGCGCCAATGTCCACTCCATGATATCGTATGTCTGCTTGACAAAAGCATCGGGATTGATAGAGAGGATGATGATTGGTTCGTTTTGCCCATGATCCAGCGAAGGTCGCCGTACGCCCTTGCCTCTTCTCGTGAGAGGCGCGCCAAGATGCTTTCGTTCTGAACTAGCAGCGATCCCCTGTGTAACGCGTTTCTTGAATATTGGCGTTGTAGGGGGAAGGTCCTATCGAACTCTGTGTTGTACGCGATCAAGGAGGTCCACTCTAATTGGCTTGGGTATCTCGCCTCCTTCCTTACCACCGCCATCATCCCTGGCCAGTCAATTGGGAGACCTGAGTTTTTCAGTTCCCAAGGCTAAGAATACGTGGGTGCACCAAGATGAATCCGGGCATTAATAAATGTCCATAACCACAATAAGAAGGTGAATGCTCCTATAGTAACTTACCGAAATCATGCAGCGTCTCATCGACGAGATAATATCTCTGCTGCTCGCAGCCTCTTTTCACCAGCCAACTTCAATCGGGCTGCCCTGTTTTGATTTTCCTTCTCCACCTCTTCGTTCCCGAGTTGTTTCCGGAATTCTTCGGTAATTTCCGCCTTTGAACTCCATTCCTTTGCAAGTCTTTTCCATGCGTCTTGCAAGTTTTGGAAAGAACTGTTTTTGAGGGCCGGAATGATCGACTGAAGCCAAATGTTCGATAGATATCGGCGGTCAGCACTGGTAGGCTGGAGATACTTTAAAAACCTGATATGCTCGAAAGTCGCTGGATTGGGTTCGCTTTCAAAGTACGATGCATGGGGGAGGTTCTTCACCTCAACGCGCCAAAGATGCTTTGCCATTATGGAATGGCTATGGGAGATATTGACAGTGCCTCGTGTCAAAGATTGAATAGAGAATTAATTCCATGCTTACAGCAATCGTCAAAAAAAAAGTATGTGCAGGCCACATGGCCCCGGATTAGCTGTGGCATCCCCCTCCTGTCACGGCCCTTTGCTACGGTTCGTGACAGGCAGACGCCACATCGACAACGGCCAGACCGCCGCAGCCTCTCGCTCTCACAGCCAGATGGTGGATGGCAATCCCACAACTCCGCAAATCTTACAACCTTAAAATCTTAAAAAAAAAATCCTGTCGCTCTGCCGCCCTGCTGCCCTGCTGCCCTGCTGCCCTACTTGCCCCAACCACCTCTAAAAATTTGCTCTGCTCCCTCCTATCCACTCTGGCTCCTCCCTCCAGACACTGCCATACCTCAGAGCGCCTCCGGTTGACATCCCATAAGTAGAATCCTACCAGAAAGAAATAAAAAAGAAGAGAGAGATGTTGTTCTTACGAACAAATTTATAGAACAATGGGCTTAATCTCAGCATATCGTAGCAACAAGGCTGCTCTACTGCCTACAATACCCCGTTCAATAAAAGTCGTCTGCAATGGATTTATCTCTTCCAATATTTGAAATTAACATCAACAGGCGCCTCATGAGACCTTTCCATTCCACAAGATCACCCCACGTAGTATGGTTCAGGGCTCAGAGGTTTATTTGTATTCAACTAGATCTCGAAAGGCAGAGGGTAATCGTTGCGTTCTAGCACGGATTCTGAATTAGAGGCACTCAGCCATAATTCAACGGATTATAGCTTCGGACTATTGCCTGCTCAGGCAGGCCCAAAAACTAATTATCCAAATGAACGGTTCCTCTCGTACTAAGTTCAATTGCTATTGCAACATTTCATCAATAGGGTAAAACGAACCTGTCTCACGACGGTCTAAACCCAGCTCACGTTTCCTATTAGTGGGTGAACAATCCAACGTTTACTGAATTCTGCTTCAGTACGGCAGGAAGAGCCGACATCGAAGGATCAAAAAGCAACGTTGCTATGAACGGTTGGCTGCCACAAGCCAGCCATCTCTGTGAATAGGATTACGGCCGTTGCTCGTTTAGTAAAGTGGCGAGAAGTGAGTATGTAATGTATAGTACAAGCAGAGATGTTTGAATGACAGTATAGCAGCAACTCTACAGAATCATATTGAAAAAAGGACGTAGTCATTCCGCAGGAACTATCTTCGTACGGACGTACTTGCGCAGGAATTCAGGGGAGAATTCAGATGTGCGAAAAGCATTCAGAGGGATGCAAGGGGTTGTTGATCTCATCTTTGGGGAATGCTGGATACGTTGAGATGTACTTTGCATAACTGTCAAGGTGCGCAAGGGACCTGCGTCAGCCCTACTTGTCGGCGAAATACAGGCATGATCTGCGCACACTTTCCTGTCTCACTATTTTTGCCGTCTGCATAGTTACCAGTAGAAAGATTGCCCTTCTCTCTCTTCAAGCTCCACCTTTGCTGAGATGGGTGTCCCTTGATTTTTTTTAACACATTTTCAAGGGCAGGGATGCCCTTCCATTCAGCGTGTCGGCGAGTCTCACATCCTGCACTTCCATCTCGTTCATTCTGGCGCCCTTAAAATTCATGCTGATTATTCTTAGGAGTAAGGCCAAAGCCTATCTGCTGCCATCCATTTTTCCGAGTTTCCCGTTCGGTGTCGTGCTCTGGGAGATACTAACGCGCTGCGAAGGAAAAGGACAAGAATGAGATGGCTCATACAGAGAGAAGGATTTGCATCACGTATATAAGGGAGTCGCACATTCAGGCTGTTGGTACCAACACTCAACCGACCCTTCCTCAAGGACTCAACCGACTCTTCCTCAAGGCTCCAGACTTGCAAGAACCCTCACACGAACCTTCCTCACACAAACCATCGCAAGAACCGTCGCAAGAACCTCCTACCTTGTCATGTTGACTAGCATCATCCTCGCTGTGTTACTCATGTGTCTCCGCTATGGGTCGGCAGCTCCTGGATCGGAGGCTCCTGAATTACCGCCTCCAGGCCACTGCCGCTTTGAGAAGGACAAGGATTTCCGAGAAGTGCAAGCCTTCTTGAGCTTTGGGATGGACCGGACGCTGTTTGGCAAAGAGGGCAAGACAAGCGACGCAGGCTATATATACTATCCACAAAGTGGCATCGCTTCGGCCGTTGGCCTCTGTTTTGGAGGGCAAATGTCGGATATTGTTGTACCCCGTTCCAATGCTTGTCCAGTATTTGCAGCCCCGAGACGTCCAGGTGAAATACCGCTTTGCAAGTACAAGGACATGAGTGTCAAGGCGAGATTCCGACTGACTATGGTCGACTACCGCAACTGTAAGGCAGAGAAGTGCACGTTCACGAAGAAGGTGGGGGGAACAGAGAAGACGGAGGTCCATGGTGACCTCAAGGCTGCTGGTACCATCTTCAAGAGCGTCGGTGTTGAAGCATCCATCGGCGGCAGCACGGAGACCACAAAAACATATGAAATCACGACGGAGGACCAGTTAGCTGCAGAGCAGTCGGCGTTCTTGGTTGGCGTCACGGTGGAACTGGTCACAAGCGTTGGAGAGATCACTGTGCCTGGAGTTGGTGGCGATAAAAGAGTTTGTCAAGAAGACATGTATAAGTCAACTATGCCTGTCTCCAACAACTTTCTACTCACCAGCAAGTCGAAGACCCTGTGGTTGGACTGTAATCTGTCGGACGCTCCTGTAAAGAGGCAGGTTAGCGATGATCCTGAGAAGAACTTTTGCTACTATCTCGATGCCGAAGGCAATCCGGTAGAAGAAGAATGCCTGAACTGATGTGCATCGCGCCTAAGTCACAGCCATACAGAGAATCTTTCATAGCAGCCGTCCTTTATCTTCAGCAACTCTTTTTTCCACTCAAATTTTCAGATAAAATAAATGAAAGGAGTTTATCTCAAGTCAGCATAGAAAATAAACAAAGCTCACATGCACACTATGTTCTACAGCAAACAATGCCTCGTTTGCGAGAGTCTTAAGTGAATCGTGGGAAAGGCAAAGAGCTACGATTAGACCGGACAACTATTTAGTCATTCGCTTTATTAAGGTAATTTATGTTGCAAGAGTTTGCTCCGCGCCTCTCCTGACAATCTCGCTTTCACATCTGTTTAAATATTAAAGAACTTGAATATCATGCTCATCGATGCCTATGCCATGAATTCGTTGCAAAAAAGAAAGAAAGAAAGCGATTAGTGTATCTTTTTGTTCAGAAAAACTTCCATTAAAAAGGCCATTCCTACTGGTAGCATTGAGAGCGCATTCACGGCGAAAGAAAAGCAAAAAAAGGACTCGACTTCCTAACGGCGAAACACGGCACTTCGGAAGAAGATACTAGTACCTTTGGCACTGTATCGCAAGGCGCGGCAGGTACAGCGCTCCTTAGTTCGACTGAAGAGGCAGCTAGGGCGCAACATACCTTCAAATCGAACCGTGATGTGATGAGACCCGAAAGAAATAATGTAGAACAATGGATTCGCAAGCAAAAAAAGGACTCGACTTCCTAACGGCGAAACACGGCACTTCGGAAGAAGATACTAGTACCTTTGGCACTGTATCGCAAGGCGCGGCAGGTACAGCGCTCCTTAGTTCGACTGAAGAGGCAGCTAGGGCGCAACATACCTTCAAATCGAACCGTGATGTGATGAGACCCGAAAGAAATAATGTAGAACAATGGATTCGCAAGCAAAAAAAGGACTCGACTTCCTAACGGCGAAACACGGCACTTCGGAAGAAGATACTAGTACCTTTGGCACTGTATCGCAAGGCGCGGCAGGTACAGCGCTCCTTAGTTCGACTGAAGAGGCAGCTAGGGCGCAACATACCTTCAAATCGAACCATGATGTGATAGATGGGTTTTCGAGACCCGAGAGGAAAATTAAAGTGAACGGTGTAGATGAACGCGCTACAGCGCAAGACGATCAATCGTACCTTCAGAAGGACTCACTCTGTGCTGTCAGGATGAGTGAAGACGAAGAAAGAGGAGGCCCATGGCGAACTCGCTCAGGAGCGCGTGTTCGTCAAAGCCACCGCTCTCTTGGCGGGTCGAAAAGCTCTTCCAAGGTCATTCTCCTCGACACCACCCTCTGTCAGCGCGGACGTACGTCTTCATTCCAGGCTCATGTCGACCTATCCCTCCCTTCGAGTTTCCAGCGAAGCACCTAACGAAAGCTGGCGCCAGATTCCTCGACTGGATTCATATTTTCTGGAAAGACCAGCTGAGAACTGGCATCCCGAAGACTTCGAACGCAACACGACCCATACGGATCTCAATGTCTTTCTTCGCGACCTTGCACGCATCTCCCGTTGTCGTCTCGCCTCAGTGTCAACCTATGCGGGAGATATCTTGAGTTACCTTTCAACAACAGCTGGAGAGGAGCTCAAGAAGAAGGTACAAGAGAAGTTGGAGTTTCGCAAGATGGCATACTTGAATCAGCTGTCCTACTCCAAACTCCAGGTGCAATATTCGACAGAGAGTTACCTGGATGTTCTCAACGAGTCAAAGCGAAAGCGCTGTGAGTATTCGTGTATAAATGTGTCCTTTTGCTTTTCGATGCTGAGAGTGTTGTTGCTGTCAATTTTCTAACAGTTACAAAAAAAAAAAAAAAGTAAAGTCTTGGATAGTGCAAACGGATCATTGTCAGCATCCACGACCTCAACTCCGGTGCCCTTGAAGCGTGGACGCATAAGCCGGAGGAAGACGACCTTGGTCGCTGTACCTGCCTCCGTGCCCATGGCGCCCGATACTGTCCCCACCTTTGATCCGTCTGCATCCAGTTCGTCACGACCACGAATAGATTGCCCGTGGCATGATCTTGTGCAAGCTGCTCTCTCTCTGGTAAGCAATTTCTTTTACTCTTTTCTTTCGCTCAGTTTCAAGAATCGGACAAATAAAAAAAAAAGAAAAAAAAGTTATTCAAGCCATTGTTTCTTCAACATTTTATCGTAGTATGAAGGAGTGAACGTTGAGCTCCCGTCTGAACAAAGTGGAGCCGCAGAACAGGATCCTGAAAAAAGGACGCTCTACAAGCTGGCTCTAGGACACCTCCAGAATGCACAGGCAGAGATGCAGCAGCCCAAGTTCGACAGAACAAGCTGTATTGACTTTAAGGATGCCTTGTACGACCTCCTCCTTCTGTGACATCGCATTCTTTAATTCATCTTACCCATGATCAGGAAACTAACACTCGTATTCGGAAATGACATCTTCCCTTTGCTAGTATAGCGCTCTCGGGAGTCTGGAACGTGTTTTCAAAGGAGGCGAACATGGCTTTCCAAAGTGCTGATCGTCAAGAGGTTGAAGAACTATGCAAAATGGGCGAGCTCGAGCACAAAGACGCGGATGTCACGGAGATCTTGAACACATTGGCAGACAAGTCTCGAAAGGCCCCTCTCACAGACGTCGTGGACGAGCTCTGCACCCTCCTATCGACTAAGCCAGAGCGTCGTCCGCTTCTAATGGTTCTTCTCGCAATGTGAGTGGATGAAGCTTTTTTTTTTTTTTTTTTTTTTTCTTCGTTGGATGCAATGTGATAACATGCGTGATTGACTTTGCTGACTTTTATCACTTTTACAAAGTCTTCGGCACGTAATTCGCCCTCATCATGGCAGCATAGCGCCCTCGGAAGCAGATTCGTTGTATCTGTGGGCAAGGATCTTTGACGATGGTATGCCGCTGAACACCCCTTTTTCCTTTCATCTGTAAGTGCATCCCTGGTCAAATGTTCTAGACTAGGCTTCATGCTTCATCTTTTCGATTCACTGTAACACTTTATTTCAAACGCACAGCGGCGAGCAGGGCTGTGCAGCGACTGCGTTGTCGAAGTCGCAGCTCGCTAAGGTCTTCGACACTGGATTCACGGCCCGAAAGTGCGACTGTCTGTTCACTGTGAAGGGGCTTGAGGTGGGCAACGTCGAGGCAAAGCGTATCTCAGCACCCAAGCTTGAGGTGGCGTTTCAATTACGCAAAAACATCAAAATTAATAAGTCCATCCTACTTCAGCTGGAGAAGTATGGAGTTGAGTGCCCCCCTCTTTTGTCACTTCATGGTAAGGACGCAAGGCATGTGAAGGGCTTCTGCAAGAACAAAGATGCTTTTATGAAACTTACATCGGCATATGGCGCTTTCACTCGCTAGGCAATACCGCCGTTGTCTTTCGTGTCCGTCGATGGAAACGTATCTTCGTGGCATCAAAGGCATGTCCCACCTTGGTCTTGCCCACGACAGGTGATGAATGGCCTTTGTTTTTGAGCCGGCATGCACATGTGCTCAGTAATCTTCTGGTAAGAACTTTGATAACCAGAACTGCGAGATGTGTAAAGAAATCTTTTTAAGCTGTTGATGCAAATAATTTTGTAGGAGCATTATCATACTTTCTCGAGGAGTTGTGCGGAGAGCTACAGCCTTGTCCAGTACGAAGAGCAAGCGGCAGCGGAGGATGAGCTCGTGTCTCTTACGCGTGAAGAACAGGCCACGCTCTTGGAGTGGGAACACGTCGTCCTCCACACGCCCACGAAGCCCAAGCTGACCAAGAAGATATCATACAAGGCGCCTGACACCGCGCTGTTCTGGAGGAGAATCGAGGAGGCCGCCAAAGATCGCGAGGATGAGGACGGTCGAGCGAGCAAGTAAAGCTTCATGGATGTTGAATGCCGTCCTCACCTATTCAGGACTCAGTGTTATTGGGTTTTCGTTCTGTGCGTCCTTTGTTTGATTGAGCTTCCGCATTCAGAGTCTTCATTCGTCAACAAGGTCAGAGGAATCGAAGACCACAGAGATAAAGAGCAAGAAAGGACTTGACTTTCTGAGAGCATGTGCAGTTTATGAGGAACAGACACTCGTACCGTTAGCATAGTATTGCAGGTATGGCGGATACAGCGGTTCTCAGCTCAAATAAAACAGCTAAAGCACAACTGCCTTCAATTTGAACAATGACGTGGAAGGTTGGTTACTTTGGCTCAAGCAGAAAAAACGCCCATGATCCGATGAGCATTGGTTCACTCAGTGATAATGAGTGGTACGATGAAGACGCGTAGCGTAAAGCTCCTCTCGTCTTCACTCCAGCTTTCATCTACACTACTATGCTTGAGACAGTGGCTGCAGTGGCTCCACCAACTTAGTTTGCTTATCCCTAGAGAGTTGCAGCGTGCCGGGAAGGGCTGAAGATGAACAATGGATAGTTTGGTCCGCATGAATAAGAAATAAGGGCTAGAGTACCCCAAGTCAACGGAGAAAGGCCAGCTGGCGCGCAAGCGCACTCGACTGTGGACACAAAGCCTCAACTCAGCCATGTGCTGAAGTCACTTTATTCTTCGGAAGACTTCGTCTTGACTCGCTTGCGTTGATGATTTGATATTGTTGTACATACTGAAAAAAGCCCACAATCCTACGAAACACACTCCTTGCCCTTTCTTTCCAGTCGTCTTGCGCAAAGCATATCTGGTCGGGGAGGTGGAAAGAGCGGAAAGATGGCTGATTGTATCCTGTTTTCTCTCATTTCTCAATGGTGCGCTGGATGAACTGCCATCTCACCGCAGTCGATGCTACACCATGGGATACAGCTGTAGTGCTGTCATCGTCGGCGCCGTCCTCAAACTTGCACTTCCTTGATAATAATGTCGTGTCCAGCTGAACCATATTCTGAGCAACTGCACATGAAAAGACTTGTGCGCAGGTTACTGCGACTATGCTGGAAGAATCAGCCCTGCACTGCACATCGTAGTAGACAGCTCCGTTGCCTCGTGCACCTGATATCTCCTTATCTGGTCTAAGCTTTAGCTCTGGGAAGAATGCGACGGCGTGAATGATAAATGCTTGGATGTATATGGGCAATACATGTTCCTCCTCGGGTAGCAATCGATTTAATGGCAGCATTCAAGGTGGCGTACAAATTGTCCACGGCTTGCAAGTGCTCCACAGAGTCGAATGGTATGATTCCGGGGTCATCAAGGCCAGTAGGATTGTCGAACAGCTCCCACACCTTATCTTCGCCATACACCTTGACAGTGTCCTCAGAGTCAATGTCAGAGAGCGGTGTCGGAGGGACTTCCAAACGATCAACCAAGTCCTTGACCGTGGTCCTCTCGTATCTCATGACGAAAGACTTTAGTATGGTGTGGTTGGGCATATGCTCGATGCATCCTTCGTGCTCAAAAGTAACGTTCCTTGGCCCGTCATCAAGCGCTAGATGTTGGGTATAAATGGTGGATCGCAGGCTCTCTTCAGTAGCTGATTTCCATTCATATACCAGAGCATGGGCGTTGCGATTTTACGGTTGCTGAGGTGGAACACCAGTCGTGTATCGTCTTCATCATCTCGCACTATAAGTTGTTGTACGTATAGGTCAGGTTGTTGATCTTGAAAGTAACGCTTGGTTACCACAAGCACTTTTTTTCATTATCAACCGCACTTTTTCTCTCGTCCACGTAGTATTCACTTCACGCCGGATGTTCACGCCGTCTTTGTTGATGTTGATGCCATTGACAGGGGTGCAGCATATGGGATTATCAATACACACTTTTATTTCATTCACCAACGCGCACATTTTTTCCATTGACCAGTGCCCACTTTTTTCCCTTTTACCACGACACATTTTTTTTTTTTTTTTTTTTTTCGCCCATACTCTTGCTGCGATGATTTGGTCGGTGTAAGGGTCCACCGTAACATACTTCATTGAGCTTTAGGTCGAGAGTGCAAGTAGTAAAAACTTTAATTTATTAATCTCAAAAACATAAGGAATACTCCTATCCTCACCCCTCTATTCCAGGTGGGGTCCATAATCGAGGTCCTCGAACAACAATCCAGGATAGTCTATTCTGAGGATACTTGATGGCGTGCCATAGCCCTCTTCTGCATCATGGGAATGGATATCAAAGACGCGTCGACTCTCTTGAGAATCTCCACGTCTAGCATCACCAATTGGGCCGGTAAGTAACTACCATTACTTGATACATCGGCCCCAAGACTATGCCCAGCATGAGCTGAGAGCTCGAATAGCGTGAAATCAAATCTTGTTTCGAGGGCGCCTCGAAATACCGTATCTCAACGATAGCGCACTGAAATCTTTACAATTTTATTTGTAAGGCACAATATTACAGCAATAAGGTCGTTGGCGAAGCTTGACTCGACAACCCTCGCCACACTTGTGATGTAAGAGCTGGATCGAAGACCAGAACGTGGGATTCTGCGGTGCCACCCGAAACCATTGTGCAGACCAAGGAGGCTCATCCACGGTATTGCTGTCCCGCGTGATTGTCGCTACCACCAAGTATCTTCGAGTTCGAAACAATAATGCCCACGACTAGAATCATGGCCTCGGCCGTGACAGTGACTACAGGAGAGTTCCTCTTGAGCCAACACAGCGTTTTCAAGGATCCACTCCTCATAATTGTGTAGAAGACGGTCAATGTTGTTCGTCCAGAAAGCGCCTTCGTTGATCTCTAGCAAGTTCTCGAAGCTATAAGCTCGCATAGCATTAGAATTCACACGCGGATAGAGCAGCACTTCATTGCGATTCGATTCTATGGGCCTGGCGGAATCAGAAATGGGAATGGGACTGGACTCAATATCGAAAAGTTGTACGTCGCCATCTAGGTCTTGGCAACTGATGACTACCAGTACAGACTCTTCGCGGATGACCCGCTCTAGAGCTATCTCTAAATCTTTGGTTGTCGAGATGTACTGAGATGGTACGTTCTCCGTCTCTCTGAGTATGTACTGGTCGATTGTCAGTCCGGCATCAGGGTTGGTTGCATACAGGCCGTTGGAAGGATTGTCGTGCTCGCGGAGCACACGAAACAGGAAGGTTTACTTCATGTAGGCGGGTTCCCAGAAACCAGACATTACAGAACAAGGATGGCTCAGGCAAAAGTATTGTGGGCAGGGGGAAGGTACGCCGATAACGACTACAAGGCAGACGTACGTGAAGGGTGTAGTATGTATGCCACGAGCGAGTGGAGGGCAGAAGAGAAAACGACAACGCGTGAGAACGGACAGTTACTCACTGACCCATGTGATGCACTCCCTGGCGTCGCTGCTCTGGCCACAGCATAACGCACTCGCACTTTACGGCCCCTTAAAGCGCATGGACCAACAGCAATGTCTGAGGATAGACATTGAGGTGTGGTGGTATTGTCGCTCAGACACTCTATCTCTGCTGCAGAAACGGATGGATGTTGATGCGGGGTCAAGATGACAGCTTTCATCCTTCTCCGAAGCCAACGATGTCCGTCGACCATTTCTTTAGTTCTGTATCTGTCTTTGCACGGTATCTAAAGCATCTGCACGTCTTTGTTTTACAGGTCCTTGGACATCAAACGTTGCGCCGTTGTTATTCGACTGTATCGATTTCGAGAAGCCTTACAGGCCCTAGCTTGAAACGTCCGCCATGTATGAACCATGTGTTTTCCGGCGTCTTGAATCTGGGACGAAACCACTGATGCACGAAATTTGACCCCCTCCGTAACTGAACTGAGCCTCCCTATTATGCACTTCAAATGACTTACACGAATTAGAGAACCGGACCGATGGCCTCAAAGAATTTAATATGATCAAGCGGTTCCTAAAGTCCAACCTAGCCCTAGAGGAAGACACACTGGCATTATCTTACGCGAAGAAAGGATCCAGAAAATGCTGAAGAGGCTGTCTTTGAAACGCCTTCGTGCTTCCCTCCCCAGGGGAGCTCATCCCAGCCTCCAGTATATGGGCTGTGCGATAAAGCTCAAGAGCGGTTTAGCAACGCTACAGAAACTCGATAAGATCAAGGTACGTTTCTGATACAGAATCCGACGAACCAGCTGTGCACGACAACACATGGCCGCACCTTATTTAAAGTTCGGTTCAATTGGACCATCTTTCCTGTTCGCAGAAAACCATAAAAGGGAAGGGGTGGAGATCTCTTGCTCCTGTTCTCCACCAAAACGCGTCGACACCGCAAGCAGCCGGGCAAACAGCAGCAGCCTTTATCGATAAGACCCTTCTCCTTTCCCCGAGCGCCCCTCACCCCAAGAACCGAGCCCCCATTTCCATGGGCCCATGGACAATACCTTCACTATGTCGAACCAAGGCTATATCCGCATCCCAGGCAGGTCCATCTCTGTCTCAGATGGCCCATCTCCGTAATGTCGCGAACATGGGTCTCAATGGGCGCTCCTTACCCCATAGAATTACGCGTGTTTATATTTTTGGCACCTCCACGCCTCTCTCTAGACCACCAAGATATGATCTGCATTGCACTGAGATACCTTTTCTAACAATGGCCGCACACCTCCCATCGTCCCTATCCATCTCCATTCCTTTTTTTCTGTTGCTTCTATTCCATCTCGAGTACTCCACTCTCGATCAGTTCAAATTCTAACAAGTGTTATATCTCTGTTTCTTTGTTGTCCCCGCTGGAAATGATAATCCCATGGCTACAAAGGGCAACAGGAGGACAAGCTAAATGAGGCGAGTGGTTTGTGTTCTCTTCGGAATCGAAAGGAGGGTCCACTGACGGTGTGCATGGGCTTTACCCCACATTTTTATTCTTTTGGCATATTTCCTCCAGATGGACGCGGCGGAATGTACGCTGAGCAATGGTATCCACTTTTTTTTTCTCATAAGGGTGGGAAAACACGAACAAACAGATGGCATGGTGCAACCATTCGGTTCGTTCTCCGTCTGGTTTCTCATTTTCTCTGACGTATTTGAAATCCCCCCTCCCTGGGTCTTCTCCTCTGTTCCTCCCCACAACGATCGCAGCGGTTCCTTCCCCTCCATAGCAGCAGCCGAATCCCTCGTGGAATCTCCCATCGCCCTCTGCGCCCAGCTTCATCAGACCCTTGTTCGGAGCATTCCACAAGCAAATCATCTACCATGTCAACACCACAGCACACCACCAGCACGGCAGAGTCAACGAGCAGCTGTGGGAATCTACAGAGTACAGCACACAATCAACCCATCCTGAACAACCTTAGCATCAACATTGACATTGACATTGACAATGACAATGACAATGACAATGACAATGGTGATGAAAGTAGCGCCCAACAATCACAATTCCATCCTGACAACTGCACTGCTACTGTCGCAGAGGACCACACCGAGACAACACAGCCAGACCTCAGCATTGTTCCTTCCCCTGTACGGCCTGGACCCTTGCAACAAGACGACCATCGATCCCCTGCATCCACATCCGCAGAACAGCAGCACACAGCCAACACCAATCCCTCGACTCCGATACTCTCCCCCTCCGCGGAGCCAATACCCCTAACCCCAGAAGAACCAGCCTTAGCAACATCATCATCAACCCCGCAACCCCAGATACCTCCTCCACTCACCTTGAGCCATATCCCTTCCTTCATCTCAACAGAGGAACCCCCACCATACTCGCCGACGCACACGATCCTCCCGCACTATTTTTCCCTCGAACCAATCCCTATACGAACGTATATCATCAAAGACTCATCCTCAGTCCCGTTTCTTTTCGATTTTTGGTTAAGCGTCCCAGTCAACGGCTCTTTCTCGCGTCCCCAATCGCCCACGATAGCAGCAGCGCATCTTCACCAACAGCTACAGCAAGAACGTGGCCCATTTCCTTCCTCGGCCCAGTATAACGTTCAACAACAGCTGCAACAGCAGTACCGAAATGAACTCAAGTTCTGTATCATACGACCACAGCATACCGACAGAACCGCGATTTCCTCGACCCATTCCTCAGCCTCAAACCCATACTTCATCCCGGCCTTGGCCCTCGTGGCCGCGAATCACCCCTCTCGATGGATCTGGTGGGGCACCGAAGCGCTTCAGATGGTTGTTTTTGGAAGGCAGCTGAAGAACATTATTATGGAGTGGCGATGGAAGCATGGGAGGACGAGGATTGGTGGACCCGTGGTGAATCGGTTGGTTGGGTGTAGTTTCCGCGTGGCGGACGAAAGGAGGTTTTGTTGGAAAATTGGATCGGGAAGACCTCGACGGAGAGGGGTAGGGGGAAGTACTTCTGCTGCTGCAGCGGCAGCAGCAGGAGCGATGATAGTGCCGGGGCAGCAGCAGTCGGCGATCAATCGAGTGGGGAATAATTGGTTCGGATCGTTCTTTGGAAGGACCACAACACCACCCTTGCCCTCGTCTGAGCGCCACGACAGCAATACTATCGCTCTCGAACACGTCCGCATCTCCATATCCTCAGAATCCACACCCGATGGACTTCATCCATCACCCTCCGATCCCGCAACCCTTCGCGAACAAGAATCCGCTGCTGCCACTGCCGCCGACCAAGAAGACGACGAAGAGGCTGGATGCTACCATTTGCGAGAAGAGAGCCTGACTGGTACGACGGGGCGGATCGTGGCGGTGTACCGTCCTGGACGTCCCGCGAACCGTGCACTCGATCGGCCAGCCATGTCAAAGCGGTTGGAGATCTTTACTGAGTTGGGGGAGAAGTGTGAGACGGCATTGATGTTGATGTGTGTAAGGCTGGATGATTTGTTCATGGCCATCCCGGATGATAAGAAGGGATCGTTTACCGATCCGGTTGCAGTACAGAGGAATGGAGGCCGGAGTGGAAATGGGAGTGAAGGCGCAGGAGGTGGTGAGGATACGACTGAGCAGGGCGGAGAGACTGAAGGAGGAGAACCAGGAGGAAGAGAGAGTGGTACAGGAGAGGGGGAGGATGATCGGAGGAGTGAGATATCGGTGATGAAGAGGTTGTTGGGTGGACGACATACGTGGAGATTGAGGATCAAGTGGGTAATTGCAACGATCTTGGTAGCAGTTGTCATCGTCTTGATCCTCAAACCAAAGTTCTCTCAGTCTTCGTAAACCTCTAAATAAGACCTTTAGTGTGTATACACATGAGCACACCAGTGAACATGCCATGGACTTTGAATACACCGATGAACGCAAAACGCATTCAAGCGTAAAATATGTAAACATGATATCCTTATTAAACACTCAGCATGATGGTCGAGACGATATCGAGTGCTCAAAGGGCGATCATTCAGGAGTGTTGGCGGCAAGAGTCCTGCGTCTGGAATTTGCCTTTGACGCCAGGAAATGGAGAGAATACACACAAACGATAAACACTTAGTACCTGATTTACCACTAGCGGGGGGGAACGTTGTTAAAAACTGGGGCGAGTTATACTAAACCCTATTTTGCATTAAACCTTCCGCAAGCGTCCTTTGATCTTCACCCGTCCTCGGACCTTTGGTCGCCGTAAGGCGATGAAGACTGTCAACAATTCTTTGTAGTTGATGTGGTGGGATCGCTACTGTGGTGGCCAAGAGCCGCTGTAGGAGCGATTGTTGATCACGATGCCTCATTCTGAATCCGATGCGTCCGTGTAGATCTCCGCCTGTGGGTTGGTCGCAGTCCACGATAGTCCATTCCATTGTTGGAGGTGAGTACACCACCAGAGAAGTAACTCTGTTGCTGCTTGAGGAAGAGAGATCGAGCCCTCCCAGGATGAGCCCGATTTCAGCGCATGGGCCTTGACGGTCTGCAAGTGTTGAATTTTGAGGCGTGCTGGAAAGACAGCTGCAGTCATGGCAATAGCCTTGCCGATGAACGACGAGAGCTAGCGCACTGTGCATGCCCCCTTGTTGGCCAACTTGGATGCCTCGCGTCGTACGTCGCGGACCTTGTTGCCTGGAACCTTCAGCGTCATAAAGCTCGTATCGATCTCGGATCCTAAGTGCTGCTGGCTCTGCAAAGGCGTGAGACTGGATTTGGCGTCTTTTGTTAAGAAGCCTGGGTTCTTCAATTTGTGCAGCACCATCTCTGTGGCCTCGAGAGACTGCTCCTCCGTGGCTGTCGCGACACTTAGATCGTCCAGGTATGCCGATACTCCTGGTGCCCTTCTGCCTGGCCCAACGAAGAAGGGGTTTGAGAACCTTTGTGAGCACTAGGGGTGCCAGTGATAGTTCGAACGGGAGGACTTTGAATTGATAAATCTGACCCTGCTACTGAAACTGAAGGTAACGTCGTGATGATGGATGATCGGCACACGGACAAAGGCATCGCTCAGGTTCTATAGGAGTCAAATAATCATTTAGGTTTTATTAAATGGCAAACGTATTGAATGGCTCCTACTTTGAAGTGCCGTGTGGGCAGGAATTGATTCAGTGCTCGTAGGTTTGAGAACCAGTCGAAGGTCCCCTGTCTTCTTGAGGATAACGAACATTGGACTTGTAAAGCAGGGCCCATTCGCGAATTCTATTGCTCCCTTGGTCAACTAATCCGATACTTCTTTGTCCATGCTGGCTGTTGCCTCCTGGGAGAGAGGGTGTGGTTGCGGATGGATCGTTGAGACTGGTGGGCGCATCTCGAACGGTACTCTGTATCCCTCCCGGACGGTTGCCAGGATGTTGGGGTCGTCGGTAACAGTCCGCCATTCGCCTAAGAATCGCGCGAGACGATTCCCGACTCTGAAAAGCGATCGCGCCTTCTGCTGTCGCCCCTGCCTCGCTGTTAGCTGTGCCCCCGTCTTCTGTTGTTTTCCTTGTGAAAAGAAGACTGGCGGTTGTCGTTGCCGTTACGGTGTGTATAGTTCGAGTCCCGACAGTACTGGTCCCGTTGCGGATCCTGCTGATTGGTGCGGCTATTGTCCGTCGGAGTGTCGGGTCGGTGTTGCTGTTGTTGAAAACTCTTGCCGGGCTTGAGTGCGTTCGTGAGAGTCTTGATGAATTTGATCTCGTCCTGGATTTTGTGTGGGTCGACCATGTCGGAGGATCTTGCTTGAACGAGGCACCTTGGGTGGGTCGGAGGTTGTCCATGCGCATGGCAGTGATCCTGCCTCCAACCGCTGCCAGTTGGTCGCGAATGAGGATGGCAAACGTAGAGCACAGTTCCACCATTTCCTCGGCGTCGAGGTGCTCCTTGCCTTCCAAGGGCCAAATTTTGTGCAGGAAGAGATCCACTGAACGTGTGAGGTGAGCGATCCGTTTCTGGATCATGCGAAGCTGGGTATCGTGGGCCTTTTGGGCTGAAGAGCTGTGCATACCATTTGGTATCTTAGGTGGTTCATACCCCACGGCATGGTTCTTGGGGTACGCTCGGAACAGCTCCCAGAGCTCCTCATCAGAGATATTGTGCTTGAAGAGGAAGAAGGGGTCATTAGGCTTGATTGGAGGGTACCGACGGGCCTCGGCTTCGGAAGGATAAAAGACAGTGCTGGGGCGTTGATTCTTGATCTGAGGATCTCTGTCAGTGGTGTTGCGTTCTTGAAGGCGAGCCAGCTGTTCGGTCATTTGAGCCAGCTGCTCACGAAGTGCGTCGATGGAATTAGCTGCGGACATGGATAATTGAACGTAAAGGGTGAACTCTTTGCGTGCGGGTACGTCCCTGGCGAAACAAAAGAAGATAGTAGACATTCACGGCGCAAGAGTAGAATTTACTTCATTTTTGCCTTACGGGTAGTTTCTTAGCAGTTAAAACGTTAAGGACAAGGTCGGAGTAGAGATTATTCAGGGGATGATTGTTGTACATTCACGGATTCATACGTGCTATATAATTGTTGGTTTGGGCAAAGCGCCTGCAAGACGAAGTGTGCTGATCATGCAGTATCATGCCGTAAGAGGAATCACGGTCTAGTAACTTACTGAGACGGTCGCAATCCGTTTGCACACAGCCCTACTCGATATGGACCCATGGTCTTTTTTCTTTCAGCGTAGCCATGAATCGCTCTTGCGCCAGCAGTGTCGTCTCCGATAAAGCATCTCGGTCAGTGCCCCGTAACGCAACATGGATCAGTCTCGGCCAGTTCTCAATCATCCACTCTGCCTCCGCCGTATCCATGGAGTTCTTCGAGCGAGCGATGTATGTCAATGACTTCAGCCTCTTCAATCCCGGCAGCAAACCAAGGAACCCATCCGATAAACACAACAGCTCAACATCGCGTCCAAGTCTCCATTCCTCCAGCCCCGAAAGCCGCGAAATCTGCGGAAAGACATAATGCATGAAACGACTCTGCAATTCCTCGCTTGGACACCTTTGACTGACAACCTCAGTCCCACGTTTCAGGGTGTAATACAGCGCCAATCGCTTCAGCTCAAGGCAGACCCACCCTTTGTGAAGCGCCAGATCCTCTTCCGGAGTACGACCGTTCTGTGACTGCAAGTTAACAGTGATGGCCAGGGTATACAGTTTCGGAAGGCTGCTCACAAGACTTACAAAGTCTGTCAGCCGAGTGTTGCGGCAGTGGATGATGTACATGAACGTCAATGTAGTGGCTTGATGTTGCGTAAGGGCCATCACAAATGTTTTTAGGGCCGTAGTACCCTTGGCTGTTATGGACCCGAGCCCACATTGTCTCTCCACGTCGCCTGCGTTGCTGTTGAGGGAGTCATCGCCGCTTTCTCGTCCGAGCGAGCGTATAAACCTTGTGTTCAGTTCTTCGGTATCCTTGCCTAGAACACCGTCTAGTTCAAGGTCCCGCAATTTTGGACACTTGTCGTCTTCAAATACAGATACGATCTGTTCCAGTATTTCTTTGGTCTTCAGATCTCCCATGATCTTCAGATCACCCAGTCGAAAGACTTGCAAGTGTGGACATTGTGCTAGGAGCAGAGGCAGGATGGCGAGCTCGTGCCCAAAAGACGGTACGTAAAGCCCCAGCTCTCGCAGTTGGGTCTCTGGCATCTGCTCCATGTCACGGTTGGTGGACTCGTCCTGTTTTCTCAGAGCTTCAGGGAGATACTCGTCTTCATATAGTATAGTATGGCAGGATCTGACGCGTAGAATCAATGAATCGAGGTTGCTGCAGGCCTGGAAAAGTTGCAGTATAAAAAGCGGGTAGAGGAATCGACGAGAAGTGAGGTCAAGTTCTTCCAACTGTGGAAGTCGTTGTAGCACCTTGAGAAGCTGTTTACGAACGCTTAGATCGATGAGCCAGAGTTCGAGCTTCAGTGTTCGTAGAACAGTCGGAGTAGTTCCCAAGAACAAGCGTAAACTAGACATCTCCATTAGGATTGAATAACCGCCAGAGACATGCCGCGGAGAGAACACCTCCAAGGACCAGAGATTGGAGAGTAGAAAGTCGTCAATGGCCAGGCGAGCGATACTCAGGCGGAGGATTGTCTTGACGTGATCGTGGTGCTTTTGCAGAGTACATTCATTGAAATCCGAGGACCCAAAGTCGAGGGTACGCCAGAGAGTGGGCATAAACCAGGTGGACCACTTTTTGGAAACGCAGGAGCAATGCGCCAGGTCGCGATTGGAGAGATACTGAGTGACCTCATCCTTGAGAAGGGGGACGTCGAAGATCGATAGCTTCTCCATATTGGTGCGGATAGGAGGTGCTGTAGGGCGTGCAGCGAGGAAACGGACGAGAGTAAGAGTGAAGATTAGAGAGCGAGGCAGAAAGATAACGGTGAGAGCAAGAGAGAGAACAGAGAGAAAAGAGAGGAACGAGCACGTCAAATTGGTAGCTTCTCGTCATGCCACCACATGTTTTAAATTCAGGTCCAAGGACCATTTTGTGCTATCTTTTTATATTGGAATAAAACGCGAAAAGTCCAGAAACTACCCGTGAGGAAAAAATGAGCTCGTGTACCCTGAATGCCTACTATCTTCTCAAAGGAGAGCCAGGAAGTGCAGAAGTGAACCAGGGTGGGAAAAAGTGGGTGGGACATATATGGTCCTGGCCCTCAGATAATAAGCTTGAGTCTTCATGTTATTCGACTCTGCCAGCTATTATCCTTCGGACTAGGGCCATATACGTGAATCCAGAGCAGAATTAAGAAAGAGCCACCGATGTGAGTTCGGTCGCGGTAGCGGCATTCAATCGATAAAATTTGTCGAATAGGGCGAGAATAGGACCAATTGCCATATATAACAACATCGTCAACACGTGTACCTCACTTGATGGCGGTGCGGCGGTTAGGCAGTACTTTGGAATGGTGAGTTAACGAGAAAGAAAGATGGTGTTTATTGATCTGGGTTTCTTCGTTAAATAAAAACAGGAGCCAGCCGGGTGTCCGGCTGTACCTGATCTAGTGGCTGCCTTTCCGTTATAGGCGGCCGTGGATCCGATCGCGCGAGCCTCAGATAGCTTAGCAGCCTTTGGCAAGGAGAGCTTTCGGCTGATACAGGCGATGCGATTGCTGATGCGCTCAGCTCCTATATGTCCTCCAGGATCCCTGACATTGCGCAGGAGAGGGCAATGTTGTATCAACGGGTCCTTGAGGTGAGGAACATCAATATCGTGGCCTTGTATGCGTCGGAGGTACTCGGCGAGGGGCTTAATCGGACACAGGAAGGAGTCGTCGTGACCCTTGGTAGTGGTGTGCATATTAGCCGTTTGCCGGTACACTTACACTGAATCAAAGGACGGAAGGTGGGGGCGACGTGAGTCGGGAGTGACACGTGGACTATAGAGAATGAAGTCACGTTTTGCCTGTTCACGCGTGTCAAACGAGCTCATTTGTTTGGCCATGGCCGTGATAGGCACAGCAGCTGAATGAATTACCCGGTGGAGGCCGCTGCATAATGATGTAGATGATGTCCTCAGATAGACCTTCTGGAAATAGCTTCGAAAATGTCAGTTGTTGGAAGTAGCTCCCCCTTCTCGGCCAGCGTGTCAAGCGTGACAACAGGCTCGTCGTCATTTTCGGGGTTCGAGACGAGCCAGATAGTGAGGCTGTTTTTATCTATGTCGTCAAATGAAAGAGTCGTTGTGTCTTTGATGCTCTCCTTGAGGTCGTCGACTGTGTCCGTTGAGGAAATCTTGACTGAGAATGCTCTCGATGTGGACTGTCCCTCGACGAGATAGAAGAGACGCAGGATGTCGGCCATGGCTGAGGAGTCGGATGGCTGGTTGACAGAGCAGTAGAGAGATGGGAAAAGAGGACTGTGAAGTGTGGAGTGGACGCGTGTGGGTCCGTGTAACCCACCGCCTGGTTACACCAGCGATAAATCAAAAACCCTTAACGAACAAAGAGATGTGTCTACTGTGTGTACGCACCGCAATGCCCAACTTTTCCGCCCAACCCGCCTCCCTTAACTCTATTTTGCACCATCACCTTTCTAAATCCTCCTCCATCCACCATCCAATCGCATCGTTCCTTACCTCGCTCGTCTTCCATCCAAACACCTTTGAATCGTGTCCCTCTTCTGCTTGTCCTTTCAGCTCCGTACCTCTGCACCGACTGAAGAAGGTGTACACCTCAATCTATTGCCACCTACCACCTTACTTTTTTATCCAAGCAAGAGAGGACGGCACAATCAATCCGCCCATGGTTTCGGAACGCAAAAAGTTGCTAGCGCTGTTAAACCAGCGTCAGGTACTGGAGTCGGAATACGCCAGCACTCAAGACGAGGCCATCAAGACCAAACTGAACGGACTCACTCCGAGCCTACTTCACTATTTCCGATGCAATACACAAGAGATTCTTCAGGAATTATATCCCACCACCGCCCACATGAAGGCCGCGGCCGAGAAGCAACGGTATTTTGCGCCGAGAAAGACACCTCAGCAACGGACAGGAGCGGTTTATGAGAATCTGAGGCGCACAGGATCGGATACCGACTATCTAGAATTCGTAAGGGTGTCCAAGTCGGTGTTCCTGAGCATTGTCTCCTCGGTCTTGTCACAGCACCAGGTGTTCAAAAATCATTCCAACAATGGGCAGGAAAGCGTTGAGAAGCAGTTGGCGATTACACTCTGGAGGTTAGGACACAATGGCAAGGACGCAGGCATTGGGGAGGCGAGCAAAATCTTTGGACTTTCCGAAGGAACGATTATGAAGTGTACACAGCGGTGCATGGAGGCACTCAAGGATATCTCGCTCGATGTCATTAGCTGGCCAAGTCCAGGAGAAAAGCGGACCATTAAGGCTAGGATCAAAGATATTGCTAGTTCCACCACCAACACCACCGACTCTGCCGCCACCCCCGCCGCCACCTCATCGAACCGCAACAACGGAAAGAAGACTGCAAATCAAGGCGGTATCACAGATGCGGTGGGAATTGTTTCTAGTATGAACGTCTTCTTGGTGTCACGTCCATTACTCAAGAACACGGACGAGTACCTCATACCACTACATCCCTCTGCGCTGGCATCAGCATCGTCACTTTCAGTACTCGATCAGAATCTCAGACTTTCAACATTATCAGGGCATACAGAGTCCGCGCTGGACCCGTTCACTCCCACCTCAACAGCATCCAATAAGAAAACAAGGGTGTCCAGAAAAACGAACAAAAACAAAGAAGCTGATAATGCATTGGACCCTGTAGACTTGGCCAGAACGTTAACAGAGGAACAAGCGGAGGAGCTCCGGCGGACAGAAAAGCGAAGCCGGTTGATGGGTGTCTCTCAAGAAGCGCTGCCATCAACGCAACTCACAGATCAAGCAGAGAAGGCCGCGACCGAGTCGTCAACGTCTTTAGAAAAGAGATCAGGAGCACGTCAGCGAACGCTAGTCAAGTCAGCATACCTCAAGCGGGATTTTGGATACAACATTTTAATCGTGTGCGACTCAACCACGCGGATCCGATTCTCAGAAGTGACTCGTCCGGCCGGATGGAGTGATCAGCGAGTGCTAGAATCAAGTCAGCTCACCCTGGATCATTCGACACTCTTTGACGAAGGCGAATATATGGTGGCCGATAGTAGTTTCGCACCAGGCACGAATGTGGTCCCGCCATTTTTAGAATCGGAAATCAGAGGAGAGCATCTCAAAGATGATGCTGGTCACGCGGCTGCTGAGAAAACGACCAAGGCCGATGTGACGACAAGAGGTTCGGCGCACCAGGATGGAGACGTTGCAGAGGAGGCGGACGATCTGGAAGCGAAGAGGAAATTCAATGAGACGCTCAGCCGCATCCAAAAAAGGGCCATGGATTGTCAAAAGAGTCTTAAGGCACGGTTTCCTAGTCTACTAGGAATGCGCGTGCAATTGAAGGACGACACTGCTAGTCAAGATAATGCTCGGAACTGGATTCTCGCCTGCATGACGGTCCACAACCTGGTTTTGGGAGATGATTCGTGCTACAACCCGGCCTGGGAGGCGCAACTGGAAGAAATGGAGGAACAGATACTGAAGCAGCAAGAGCAGCAGGCACGATTGATGTGGAAGTTTGAACACCACCCACCCAAGAAGGCTCGCAAGGGTACAGCATCTACTCTGGCTGAATTAATGGAAGCAGATGGGACATCCTCCAAGGGTGCTTCAGAGGAAACGGAGGTTGATCCGAAGGTGGGAAAGGAGCGAGAGGGCCAAGGAGGCGAGGCTGCACAGGAGGAAGAGGAGGAGCGAGTGTATGAGCTGATGGATACACCGACGCCAGATGCTGGTGCGGAGAGCCACCACGGTACTAGAGAGGGCTCTACAAACGCAACAGGATCAGAGAAGGAAAAGGACAATCCACGGTTGCAGGGGCACTCTTCAATTTCATACTCTAGTCCGAGTAGACGCGATGAGGTGTTTGCGATGATGCAGGGGACCAAGGCAGCAAGTGGACATTCGCTGAGCATGCTTTTGAACTAGAACATCCCTCCCATAGATATCCGCCATAGGATGGACCCTACTTAATAAACAGAGCGATGATGCCACTGCAATTCAAGTGCCCTGTAGACCGCACATATGTCTCTCAGGCATGTTATCGTCTATGGGGATTAGCAGATAGTCGCAATGTCCGTTCTGTTGAGAAACACGTAGACTACTTTGCTCATCGCATGTAGGGCTCACTTACAGGACCAAGGCGCGTGCTCGTGGCAGAAGGTGCTCCCTGATGGATCTGTGGACAGTCGCAAGGACACGCCTGCGATTGCCCACAAGCCCTCCATGGTAAGGGCGCTCGGGCGAGCTGATACTCTACGCTCCACAGCGGGAGGACTGGAATTGTTTGAATACTTTGGACACGAAGTATGCAGCATCCAACAGGCGGGATATGGATGCCACATGGGACTACTTCTGCCCCATGGAGGTGACGCCAGCCAGTCCCCCTCCTTCGCCTTTCTCGTCCTTCTTTCTTGGATCGCCATCGATTGGTGCCATCTCCTTTCGTCTCTTCCTTCTTCCTTCTTCCATCTTTCATTCCTCATTCGCCATTGCTGCTTTCTTGAATCAACCCTCCTCTGGCTCCTATTTTTGTGTTTGTCGTTCCTGTTCTCAAACACGAGGATCATTCGGTCTCAACCACAAGGACAGCAGCAGGAACAGACAATCAGCAACAACAACAATAACAACAACAAGGATCAACGAGCGCGTGCTGTTCCGGTGCTTGTGCGTAATCCCTGCGGTCTATTGCGTGTTTCCCCCCTCCTCTGTGTCCCCTTTGCTCCACTCGACTTGACCAGCGCGGACCCCACTAGGCCCTATCCTGCCCCTGTGCCCTCTGTCCTTTGCCCTGACCAACCATTAGCGATACTGGTCAGCAGCAGCAACAGCAGCAACAGCAGCAACAACAACAACAGCAGCAGTAGTAGCAGTAGTATCATACTCGTTACCCTTCCCCCCCCCTCCTTTTCTTCTACGATGCGGCTTCCTGTTCTTTCTTCTCTCTCCTCTCCAAGGTCTTCGTCTACCTCCAAGGCACGACAGATACGGAAACGTTCGCTTGGACAAGGCAGCGAGGGACAACTGCAACTGCACAGCGCACCCGAGAAAGGCGGCACAACGTGGCCAGGAACGCTCTCTCCTCAGGAGGCAAACACCGACAATAACAACAACAGCCCACAGGTACAACAGCAACAACACGACAACGACTATCGACTACAGCAAACCTTCGAGAACGTTGCAAAGTCTTCCAAGGCAGCAGTGCCCTTTCTTCTACCCTCAATATCGTCCTCGCTGCAGGTGGCTCTGCCCACAACAACCCTGCGCTATCCTCCTCAGTTTCCGTCGGGCGAACCCGAACCCACGATCCCGCCGCCCGATTGGGAGGACGAGGACCCTTTCTGGAGCATCCTCCTTATCCTTGCGGCAGTTTTCATCATTATGATCATCGGTGTGATTCGATACTGTGGCCAAAAGACCAGTTGGCTTACAGGTGCATCCTCGTCTTCGTCGTCGAATGGTCGGCACAGTCATGGTGGCGGTGGTGGCGGTGGTGGTCGAGACGGCGGTCGAGGTGGCCGTAGTCGAGGAGGATATGGCCCACATCATGTGCCCGATTGGGAAGTCGACCCGGAGGCGACCGAGACAAGGTTGGCGGCACTTCCAGATACAGAGCGTCAGGCTTATGAAGCTGCACGAGGTATGTCGATTTAGCGGTGGCGAATCAACTTTCATGCGGGCAAGGGGATCATCAATTGTCTGGATGGTGCAACGTGGGATATCTCTGCACAGCGATATTCTCTTTTAATTATACTCCGACTGACGAGCGACTTTTGTCTCGACTGCACTCTGAAGCTTTCCAGATAGTGCATCCACCGAACAGTATCCCGACCGACATTTCGCTCTCACAGTATCTCTCAATTCAGGAAAAGGGCGTCTCGGCATGGGAATTCGAGGCTTCATACGACCAACATCTTTTCGTTCATGACAGGACCGAAATCTCGTTTTTTGAGCAGACCGCGTGCGTGCAAACGAACCTGCCCCTCCCAAAACAACAGGAGGTCTACTACTGGGAGGTCAAAATGTTTGAAAAGAGCCCCAACACTACCATTTCCGTTGGCGTCAGCACCAAACCATACCCGACGACTCGCCTCCCAGGTATCTATCTATGCACATGTCTTTATGCGTTTAGGAGGCTTTGTTCAACAATATATTGGATTTTTGTTATCTTGAAGCGAGCTAACATGGGTCTCCTTGGATTGCTGGATGATAGGTTGGAATCGTCACTCTGTTGGCTACTTTTCGCATAACGGACAAAAGTACTGCAACTCGCTCTGGAGCGGATACCCCTACGGCCCCATCTACTTTGAAGGCGATGTCGTCGGCTGTGGTTACCGGCCTAGAAACGGAACCATCTTCTTTACCCGAAACGGCAAAAGGATTGAAGATGCATATACGGGATTCGGCAGAATGAACTTGTTCCCGACAGTCGGCACCACGGGTCCCTGTGTGCTGCATGTCAACTTTGGACAGTCTGGTTTCGTGTTTGTCGAGGCCAATGTCAAGAAGTGGGGACTGGCGCCCGCCAGTGGATCGCTAGTCCCACCACCAGCTTATGGCAGTGAATTGGGATCGATTCTATTGGAGGCAGCAGGGTCTGCGAACAATCTGCAGGCACCGACATCATCATCGCAACGGCCAATTTTTCAGTCGAGTTCGTCAAGGATGCGGGTGCAGTCAGCAGGCGCATTAAGACGAGAGGATTCGTTTCAAGGAGCAAGAGGCGATGGCGCCACAGTGCAGGATCGATCGTCGTCACCAGTGCAGATCTCATTGTCCACTATGTCGGCACCTCCGCCTAATTACTCAAGTCTTGACAGATACGGACACCCTCGGCATAGAGATGATGACGCAAGTAGTGTGGCGAGCTCGGAAAGCAATGAGTCGGCGACGTTGTTGCTGGGGGATGCTCAACCAGATCCTAGCAGTGGACATTCACAGGATGGGGAGGGCTCCTGTAATTAAGGCGACTTTGCCTGGTGTAATTAGCAGAGCTGCATCAGCTGTTATTGCGTTGCAGACATGTACAGTATTCAAGCAAGAAATAAAGAGATTATGCGAAGCCAAGCGGGCTATGCTCGAGGTGCTCAATGTGTACCACAGCACTTTCGGATTTTGGTTCGATCGATGTATTCGAGGTCTGCAGCTTGATTCGTCCGACCTTGGCCCGGATATGTGAGCCGCATGCACTCGTGCGCTTGTGTGGGGTGTGGGAGAGAGGCTCTGCTCGGTTCACCCTCATTCTCCTCCCTTCCCCCATTCGTCATTCTTGATCCCATTGCTTTTTCTTTCCATTCCTTCCCTCCTTCCTCTCTTATTCAACCACGTATTTTTGAAAGGCATAATGACGGTCCAGAAGATCAACAAAGAGATCGCGAACCACAACTACAGCAAGCGGGCGTATAAGGTGGACGGATACAAGTCCTTTGAGGAATTTTACCCCTACTATCTGTCAGAGCATTGCAACCCCATCAACCGACGCCTGCACCTCTTTTGTAAAATGCAGCTGGAATGGAAGGTTTTTATTTTATGCCAGATTTTTTTTTTTTTATTAACCACTCAAAGATGGGGGGTTTTTTTTGAATGCATGTATGCGGTATGATAGCGACGACGAACGTAGTGGCGATTCTCACGTATCTCGTCCTGACCAAGCAGCCGAGATATTGGTGGGTGGCCCTTGTGCAGGGTAAGTGAACGTGAACCATGAAGCTCCAATTGTGATTTTTACTGTCTTGCGACATGCAAGACCGACTGGGATGGACATGTCCTGTCCATGAGCTGATATGATTGCTTGGGAATAGGATATGGACTCGCGTGGGTTGGCCACTTTATTTTCGAGAGGAACAAGCCCGCGACATTTAAGCATCCAATCTACTCGGTATGGGACATATTGGGCTTTTTTTTTTTTTTCTGCAACGGGATCATGGAGGGAGTGCTGTGTTATATTAACTCGGTTGAATTATTATTATTTTTTCCCTTCTTTATACGCTTTGATATATAGCTCATGGGAGACTGGAAGATGTGGTTCGAAGGTAAGGGCCAAATGCTGTCGATCCAACAAGGTCGCGTCGAATGTGGAGGTCTACTATGAGGATGCCCTTTTCTTACGCAAACTACTTTTTTTGAAAAAAAAAAAATTAGTTGTCAGTGGAAGACGCAAGTTCTAGGGGTGATCGGGCAAACAGCTCAAAGCGCATTTGAGGATTTATGCGTGTCAGGTTCATTGGAATGCTGGAACATGTATGGAATAAAGATATATATGCCCACAAAGTCAGCTTGCAAAAAAAGTGAAGTTTTTTTTTTATTTAGACAAGTCCAGCTGTGGCCATAGTCCAAGTTGCTCGGCAGCTGAGGTCGGATGGGGTAGTTGCACAAGTGGGGATCAGTCCTCCTCGAGCAAGGTCCTGAAATGACGATGTCTTATCGATGATGAGCGGTCTTGACGACGCTCACGGTCGGAGAAAGTTCTTTCGCCCGCCAAAAAAATATGGCGAAGCAGTGAAGTGCGTTATGACAAGATCTAATAATTCATTATGTTCCTGCATTTCGCCGCCTCTCCAGCCGCTGCCTCTCTAGCCGCTGGCTCACTTCGGTCAGCATCCCCCCTGTCTCGCCGAGCAGCCTCCGCATCTCCACGACCAGCGCATCCAGTTGCTCCTGTGATTCTTGCACCTCCTATTTTTGCCAAAAGCAACAAAGTACATTTGGACCGATCTTAATGAGCAACAATTGTTCCCCCGGTCTGATTGCTTTCAGTGCACCTCACCCATCTCCATCGTAACAAAAGCAAAGGGCAAATACCTCTTGCTCTTTAAGCTGCCTCCAGAATTCCCTCCGTTCATCCTTGGTTCGTTCCCATTCCTGAAGGAGTTTCTTGGAAGTACTGATGGCCGCTAGCCATTCGTTGCTGGCGGAGCCATGTTGTTTGGATGAATACTTTTGACGTCGAAAGAAGGCGATGGCGTCGGCTCGTCGGCGCCGTGCACCTTTGAGGTGTCTCCGGGCGCAATCCCCAACCTTGTAGGGAGTCACCGACGGCGCAGTCGTGGTTCCTTTCCACGGCCGTTGAGACGAAGGAAGGGTCTTGGTCATGTTCAAGTAAGAGTAGCGTCGATATATCAAATGGATGGAACAGAAGAAAGAGGTCGAACGGAGGCTCCAGTGACATCACCGCCAACGCTTCAGGGACCATCTTCGCAAAAAGAAAAAGGAAAACGAGACCTTGAGTCCTGGTGCGTGCGAGCTGCGTTGTGCTTTTTGGTTTGTGTGTATATTTTAGGGCAGGCTATGCCCGCAGCTCCATCTATTGGCCGTTCCTGAACAGCGTCTCGCCAACGTGTGCACCACTGGGCATGCTCCTCTCCATCACTCTTTCTTCATCATCCTCCTCCGCATGGATCTCTCAATCTTTGACATCCCGCTCTTGAAGGACGAGGTCACCCAGTACTTGTCCAAACAGGACCTCGCACGGTCTGTCCAGGTCTGCAGGGCCTGGTCGGCCTGGTTCACTCCCACGCTCTGGCGCACCGTAAACTTTAACAACCGAGCTTCCATCGCTGGCCAGGGCCTCTCCGCGCTAACACGCTACCAAGATCATGTCCAATCAATCGTCGCCTTCCAATACTACCTTGGCTCCGCCTCAATGGCCCTGCGACCCTTCCGCAACCTACAGTCTCTAGAACACAGGACATTACAGGCCAACGTGCACGAAGACACTATTGTACTACTTGTCATAGGCGGTACCCCTTCTCTCCAACGCCTCAAGCTCACCCTATCACTCGTCCGAGAAGAGATCCAGACACAATTGATCGATGCCCTTCACTCCCTGCCGAGGTTGAGGAGTCTAGCCTTGACGTGTTACCAAATTACGCCTGTAGGTGTCATTCAGCGGATCATCGACAGCTGCTCCCATATCGAAACCCTGCATCTCGATCTCGGAAGCTCTGTAGTCAAAGAGCCATACTCTCAAGGGGATGACCGAAAACAATGTCTGCTTGCTAAGCGTGTCATGGAGCAGATGCTCGATACACGGATCCGCCGTCTTTCGATTCGAGTCTCGCTCGCGTCCCAGGAGTCCGCTATCCTTATACCGCTTCTAGAGCGATGCCCGTTGCTGGAGAGACTTGAGGTGGACTGGCTACACCATCCGGACACTCTTGGGCAGATAATAGATGTGCTCCGGAGAAGGAAATGTCCACTATTGAAGCATGCCCTCTTGGGCGCAGTCTTGAGATTCGATGCAGCAGAGGGCCAGTTTGCAGAGTTGATCAGTGCCTTGGGGAGTGGAGAGAGAGTCGACGAGACCATTCGCAACAATGGCTGTGACCATGGTTACCGAGGCTATGGTCTTCACACCTTTACAGTCGAATCCATCCTGCCTTTTGAACAGCAGTCTGCCCTGGCCCTGACGCGACACCACTCCCAGACGATGACAGTCCTCGATCTGATGAGCCTGCGCGAGTTGAGAATCCAGCTCTTTGTCGGGATGATGGAGGGTCTCCCGAGACTACAGAGGCTGATGGCCGCAGTCTGGCTTGGACACAAGCAGGATGGAGGGCCAGGCATGGATACCGTATTCAAAACTCAATGGAGCTGCCTTGGCCTAACAGAGTTGAGACTAGGGCTTCAATTGAGCGAAGAAGTGCGACTCGAGCCCGATCACCGACCCGGGAACCTATCCGTGGCGGATCAATATATCGGCTACATGTTTTCACAGATCGGTAGATTGACACAGCTGAAGGAATGCAATCTAACGAGTGGGGTCAATCTACTGGACTTGGAGAAGGGATATTTGACCCACTTAATCAAGTTAAAACAGCTTAGAGGCCTGAATTTGAGGCGGTGTACAAGCTGCAAGCTGAGTGTCGACGTGGCACAGTGGATGCTTGATCACTGGCCGAGGCTTATTTACTTGGTGGTTTTTGCATTTGAATGGCCGCTTGACGCAGGCAAGGCAGTCCTGCAAGAAAAGAGGCCGTGGATGCAGGTCGAAGGACTGCATTAGCATAATAAAACTCGATGTATTCAAAATGTGTTGTCGGGTGCGCTTGAGAAAAGTTGGTGGCGCAAAAAGTATTATATCTGTAACCCATAGAGTTCTGACATCCCAGTCAATCCTCTTTATCAATTTGTCATCTGTCCATTCAAGGAAAGAACTGGCCGCGGAGAGGGCGACAACAACAAAAGATAGCTTGTACTGCAGTGGGACGTCCCTGAACAGCGTGTCATGCCCAGAGAGTGACCAAACTCATTCCAGGGATTCGACCTATTCAAAGGCATTGAAGATGTTTGTCGTTGAAATGATTCTTCTTTCGTGCAAGATCAAACCCCATATCACTGAGTAGAAGGGTCGCACTCTAATACTCTTTTGGCAAAATACTGCGATCCACAGGAGCCTTGAGCTCTTCTGGAGGCGTTTTACTTAAGGTACAGTTTGGTCGGTAGTGTGCCATTATCCTTTACTTCTCTTACACAACTCTTTTTCTCTTCTCGATAGGCGTGACACCGGGCCAGCGCTGAGACTCGTAGTGATAGCCTAGCGCTAGTGTTCCCAAGCTGTTATTATTGGGGGGTTTTTTTTGGCTCAAACATCAATGCAATAGAAAAGGGCCGCGGTGGTCCATAACTGATAATGGTCTTTATTCAAGGGGTGTTGAAGTCTGCCTAGCTAGGAAACGCGTCCGTGGAGGCTAAAAATGACTGCGGAAAGTCCTAGGAACACCTTCGGATATCCTTCTAAGAAAAGCTATCTTTGGAGTCAGTGGAGTCAGTATAGTGAAGGGACTCAAAGTAGCTATCCCTGATAATATACGATGGTTCCCGCCATGCTACAAGCTTTGTGACATGAATGGTAGGTGAAATAGCTAGATGCTGTGCCCTTATTAAACACATTGGTACAGCAAGTATATATCATAGGCTAAGCAGCTTCCTTCTCTTGCACTACTCATCATCACTCTCATCACCCTCATCGAATCTCCCCCTCTTATTCTTCTTGGAGGGTGTAAGTAAGCCATAGGGCAGCAGTTCAGCATGCTTTTGTGGCGGTGTTGATGGGAGTGGATGGCGTTGACTAGTGTTGAAGACGTTGGCGACCTCTATTGCAAACTTTTTAGTGTGCTCCTTTTCAGTTCTAATCCTATAGCCTATAGTTGAACTGTTAGTAATATGTAATACGAGACTCGCGGTGATAGTGGTGCTGATAGCACCAGAATGAGGAATAGCTTAGAAAAAAGCGCGAGCTGGGTGAACTGGGCTTGTTGGGCTTGTTGGACTTGCAGGACATTCTGGCTTGCCATTGCTGGGAGATGCGGGAGCTTTTTTTTTTTTTTTTTTTATAACAACTTGTCTCTCGAGTCAATTGACTCTGCGAATCTATCAGACTAACTAGCAAAGATCTACTATCGCTGTCCTCACCACCAAAGCGGAACCGATCCACAGTCGCCAAAAGACAGGTCACATTCCCCGGGCCTGCCCCTAGGGCCTGCGCAACAATTGCCACACCTCATCAGTGTGTTAAAAGCTGAAAACACCTTGTTACAAGAAGGGTATCTTCCCCATCCCCTCCATAGTTGTCAACCGCCTCCTCCCTTGCAGGCAATCCAGCAGCGTCCGATCCGCTGCGTCTGGGTCAAGCACGGGGCCAGGGCAGCTCCCGTTTACATGGTCAGCGAGTAATGCACCACACGGACATTGGTCATCGTCGCTAATATATCCATACCCATCACTCCAGTCCCCTCTCGGTCCCTTGTATGGAGTTCGTTTTATCTTGGCTGTGATCCCCCATTCTCGCTCTCGAGCAATGGTGGCCTTGCAGCGTGGTTTCCAGATCAGCTCCGTAGCTTTCTCCTCAATAAAGCCGACGAACTTGTGAATGACCTGGCGCGCAATCGACGATGGCGAGGTAAATAGACTGCCCCACTCCTTGATAAGGCTTATGGGTGTGATGCCACGGCATAAATCGCTGATGCTCCAGGTCAGATCCGGAGAGCGGTCATAATACTCGTCGCCTTTGAGCATTGATCGGGTCCCGGCGATACAGGATAGACCTCGGATGTGGGTCTCGTTGTTAGGACAAACCCATCGAATGGGTTTCGGTGCAGCAGCGGCGGCTCCAGCGCGGATCCTATCACGCTCTTGCTGCTTCTTGCTGTTCTTGTTGTATGCGGTCGTTGCAGCTCGTCCCCACTTATCAATCTGCTGTAGCCCTTCGCGCCAGATCTCCTTGTGGACATCTCTAGTAGCACTGCACGTCCACAGGTGATGGTTGTCTTCGTCCTGAACATCGCAGACGCAGCAGACACGGTCAGGATATAGACTCGGGTGGCGAGCCTTCATGGTATTCAGGGTAGGCAGCATACCATGCAGCTTCTTAATATGATGTGTCCTCTGGGACGTATCAGCAGCACTGCTGAAGAACGTGTGCACAGAGCGCTTGTCGTGGACATGGGCAAGGGTGGACCGCCACTCCACGTCGGCAAGATCTGGTATCGCTCTCTTGACACGACGTTGGGTTGTCCAGGCCTGATGACGCCTGATTGTCGTCTGCTGCTTGAGTAGCTGCCGCAGATCATGTTCCACAAGATGGTCGTGGCAATGTGCAAAAAAGCGGATGTCTTGCTGCTCGCTTAAATCAACCGACCAGGGCATTGACTCGACTCGGACGGCGGCTGTCGCCACAGTGTCTGCAATATTGTTGCCAGTGTTGGTGCTGTGCCCACGGACCCACCTCACCTCCACCGACCCAGACCGATCCTGGACAATCTTGTGTAGTGCTGCCCAGTGTCCAGAGTACGTACTACGGAACCGCTTACGAGGTAACGTGTCCGCACGGGAACGCACAAGCTGCTGGTATTGTTGCACGACCGCTTGGTTGTCGAGCTCCACAATAATGTTTTGGTCTGGTGGTGCAGATAGGATGGCAGCTAGGAGACCCATGAGTTCTGCTTTTGCTGAAGAAGCGTACCCGTCTGTGCGGCCCTGCACACACCTGACCACGGGCTGCGATCGATCAACGACCCCAAAGGCCATGGCTACGTCTTCTTGACCAGTGTTAATCAAAGAGCCATCGGAGGAGATGACTCGCGGTGCTGTGTTGTCGACAGGAGATTCTCGCAGCTGTGACACAGCAACTGCCTCAGCGTGTGATAAGCTGACTGGTCCAATTGTGGTTCTGTCTGGATATAATGTGCCCACCTCCTCAGACAGCTGGTGTACAGGCAGCAATGGATACGTTTGGCGTTGAGGCAGTAGACGCAACTCTCGTTGTTGTTGACGCTGTAGTCGACGTTCGCTGTTACGCAGGCGTCGGCGCTCCCGTGCCTGCTGGGTACCGTACTGGGCATGTATCGCTTGCGATGCACGTGCGCGTTGTGAGTTGATGTCTTGCAAAAGTGCTTTTCTGCGCCGAGCAGCAGAGTCTAAGGCAGCCTGTGCGCGTCCTCGTAGGCGAGCCAGGACGGTGTGATACTGCGCGCTGTTAAGATCCGCTGGGAGATGCGGGAGCGGCGAGAAAGAGTGAGAAAGGAATAATGCTGTTTGAGTACGATGGCAAATTGCACATCCAATGAGAGCCAATTCCACGTTACACGAGAACGAGGGAGCCTTGGACCTTGAAAGCATGAGTCTGCTTAGCTTATACAACAACGATGGATGTGTCTAGACTCGATCCAGCCTACTCGAAACCCTTATTCTCATTTTCCGCTCTTTTCCGTTTTCCTTTCTTCCCAGCTACACCCTCCCTCAATCCATCAGGAACTGTCTTTTCTCTTTCTCATCTTTTCTCGCCTATCTGTCTCTCATACGTCTCTGCTCAATCTCAATAATCACAGTCCGGCGGCGACTTACTGGTAACAAAAAACACTGTTTATCTGTGGAGACCCCTTTCCTGCCTGTGCCTGAACCATTAAAATCGATCCAAGAATACTAATGCTAGAACAGTTGGGATAAGGGTGCGCGACGGTCGAAAGGACAATCATGAGCGTGCAATGGGTAATAACCACTTCTTGCATCATAACAGGTACCTCTCCTAGAAGTGACGAGAGGAAGCGAATATCACTCCATTCGACAACCTTATTCGTGCGCGGACATTCTTGAACAAAGGATTGGAGTAGAGAACACTGCACAAGGACGGACCATCTCCTCAGCCAGTAAAAGGAATCCTGATACAGACTCGTGTTGAGGTGAGGCATTGTTTCTTGTCACTCGAGGGTAGGCAACAGGCGTGTGTAATGGTTATTAATCCGTCATGCTTCATTAAAGGCATTTGGTACCGTTGCTAGAAGACACAAAGAGATCAAAACTTCTGGACTACCTCGGCATTCAGTCAAAGGACACAAGAGTTGAATAAATACTTCCGAGGTGAGGCGTCATCACTTGCGCAGAGTAACTACACATGATAAAGTTCAGGCAGCCGCTATGGATACTAATCGATTTGTTTGAGGATAGACCGGCCTACTGCCACCACATCTACAATCTCTCAGCTCATTGTGTCCTATTTCGTGCCAGTTGCTGTCGGTGAGTACGCAAATTACTCGCACAAGTATATTAATTGAAGTCAACGTCATTAACATCGCCACCATCTACTCTGTAATACCATAGAGAAGTAACATGTTTGACAGTACTTTTTCATCATCAGGAAGCATTCTCTCACCACAAAAGGAGCTGGAGATTGCTAATACCCTATTGGAAAATGCGCGCAAAACAAATGATCCAGAAATTTCTCTAAAGTTTTGCAGCGATGCAGAAGCCGCATTATCTCGGGCGAAAAGAGCTGCAAAAAAGGCTCTGGCCTCTCCACAGTCGGGCGCAGATCAAACCTTGCGTGATGGAATCG